AAAGTTTAAAAGAAAGTAAAACTTTATACACGTTATGCGAGTGCATTAATAAAAATAATAAAAAGGAAGATGTAGATATTTACTCAAAACTAAAATCCTTTCTCTCTTTTTATTTAGACAAAATATACTAAAACAAAAGATTTTGCTTTTTCTTGCCTTTTTTTCTTTATTTTTTGAAAAAACCTCTCTTTTTGTTTCTAACCTTTTTATATTTCTTGTTTCTTCTGATGAAAGATGGAAAAGAATCCTCTTCCTCCTTTTTCATATTTCCTTTTTTTTTCATTTTTAAGGTAAAAAGAGAAAACAACTATTTTTTTGAAACTTTTAAAGAAAAAGTAAAGAGAAAAATCTTCTAAAACCATGGATAAATAAACAATGAATTTTGAAAATCTTGTTCTTTTTTTTAATAAGAGAAAAAAAAGAAAAGAAAATACTTTTTGTTTTTTTTAAAGGTCACTTTGACACATGTTATTTTTGTTTTATCAGAAAAAGGTTGCTAAGACAAAATTGTTCCTTTACGTGTCCTAAATTAAGATGTACTCTTCATGGCAAGTTTAATATGACTTTACTTATGGGATGGCTCCTCGTGGCCTACTGTATGCTGAGTTCAATTTCCCTCAAAGCTAAAAGTTCTCAAATTATTCCTCATTATTGTTCACATGGCCTAGCAAGGCACCCCGGTCCTCACCCATTACAAGTTTCAAACAAACTAGTTTCAATCTAAATAGGAGTATTTCATTAGCCCATGGAAGAGTTATCACCTCACGAGAGTGTGCCTACTTAACCCCCTCCTACTAAAGACTGAGTCCAAGTAGAAGGCCCATGCATGAATGCAATGTGTCATGTGTGTGGAGGAACATACCAAGCTTTAACCTCTTAGTACACACCCCAATTCAAAGTGCCCCACAATTATTAAAAGCAACAAATAAATGATAATAAGCAAATGTAACCAACACATAAATAAAAAAATGAATAAAATAATACTATTTACTATTAAGGAAAAGTGAATGAAATATTAATTGTTTAAGGCTTAGGATAACTTATGATTACTTACTAGCTCGACTCTCGAAATCTCTAGTAGAATCATCAAACTGTCACTATGTGTGGGTCTGGGAACCCATCAACCTCGACGTGAAAATTTGAAAGTCGCCACCAATATTTTTTTATAAGGTGTGATTCGTGACCTATTTAAGTCTATTTCTTTAAAATGCTACCTTATAAAAATAGGCTCTGGTTTACAAAATAGTTTTCGAGTTCAAGAGAATTGTTACGCACAAGGATGGTATTAGCACCCCGTGACGCTCCTTCAAAGAACAGTACTAATTAATTATTTGTTATCCTTATGTTTGCCTTAATTCTTGATTCATAATTTAATTCTCATTTTCTCTTAATTATTATTTACTTGTTATATTTCATTTCTTATTTTGTTTGGTATTGGAGATTTTTCTTAAACTCCTCCAACACTCTGGTAGAGGTTTTCAAAATCCTCCTCACCTTGAGTATTCAGGAGGACACGTTTATCCCCTTGAAGAGGCTCTATCATCGAGTTTATTATGTATTTGTCAAGTGAGATTCTTGATCTTGAATTAGACTTTAGAAGAGTGAATAGTGCTTTTGGGAACCCAAAAAAAGAAACACCTTCTACTTTGTCTTGGTGGAGCTAAAGTGAGTGTGGGTGAGTCTTCCCAGTGAGGCTATTGAGAAAGGTTGTACAATGAATCTTTGAGTTGATTTGAAAAACTACTAAGAGAAATTTTAGAATACTTTAATTTTTCAATAGTAGATGAATTATTCCAGTTCATAGATGTAGGTAAGAGACCGGATTACATAAATTTATATATTTTCCTATGTACTTGATTTCTCGTAATTTTATCTTTGTTATTTCTTTAGCAGTTTTTGTAATAGAACATATGGTAAACTTTGAAATGGAGCAGATGCACATCCAAAGCTTATTCACTATAAACTACATTGGAAGCAATAAAGTTTTTATTACTATCTTACACACACAAACATGGTTGCTACCATATTTTTACTCAGTCTCAAGGTTTTATATGATCTTGTTTCTCCTTATTCCACAGTAATCTAATCATTCATAATTAACTAACGATTTCAATGGCTTAGGTATTGGATGAATGTAGCATAAGTCGAACATTTGTTTTGAGAAGCGAGCTTAGAAGATCGCACGAGCGTTGGTTTAAGGGGTCTTAGATTACTTTTTCTTTGCCATCATATCTTTATGACCAGATCAATTGTTTTAATCTACACATGCATTTGCAAACAGGAATTTAGAATCGCGAAGGGGTAGACCTGATTGAACGTTTTGTGACTTTTGTCCACATGAGTGGGCTATTTAATTTGACTTTGAACACCACGTTGACACAAAATAGAGTCATCTCCATGCTCGACTTTGTTTCAATCTAATTATTCACAAGACACGGTAAATAGGGTTTTGTTTGGACTTTTTCTTACATTTGGTTTTTACGTGTTTGGGGCTTTTTGGTTGTCTTAGAAAAATTCAAAGATTTGAGTTATTATAGTTTGGTTGATTTTGGATGTATCTTATATGTGCCATTGGTTTTCTTCTTTATTTTTAATTATTGAAGTAATAATATTTTAATTTTTATTGCTAACTATTGAGGTAAAAAAATAATTTGACCATGTGGGATCAAAATTTGAATATCAAAGAAAATATTATCAATGTAAGTTAAACAATGATAAAGAGAAAAAAAAAAAGACAAAAGAATTAGAAAAATATAGTTGGTATAATTGGGAAACGGAAAAAGAGTCGCTCTAGTATGAGAGGGAAAAAAGTAGAAATCAAAAAAATTAAACACGACAAAAAATGAATATTTCTTCAACTTTCTTCATCCGAAGTATGAATTGGAAAAAGTAGAGATGATGGAAAATGAATTTTTCTTGAATTTTCTTCATTCCGTCTTATGACCTGGTGTGGTCTTTGGAGTGAATGACTCGTAAATATATTTGGATTGGAAATGCAATTGCTTGAATTGACCATTTCGCATAAATTGGTTTCCTGAAATGGCGGGTAAAAATCTTTGGATCTCCACTCACTTTCAACTTGCAAAATACTCAGGAGACTGGCAAATTATGTGGTCAGAGATTAAAGGCAGCAATTATTGGATTTCAACTCACTCGGATGAGTCGGGAGATTGGACTGGCAGCGGGTCAGTTCTGTTCAATATTGGACTATTGAGAAAACCAAAAGAAAAAACAAAAGACAAAAATCTTGTGTGAGATTGAATTTTTTTTTTCTTTGATTTCATACTTGTGAGTTTGTTCCTTAAAGATTATTATGAGATAAAAGTAAGGATTTGAAAACAAAATCATACTAATTATACTCATTTTTTCAAAAAGAAAAAAAATAATTTTATCCAAATATTTCTATTTTGTTTTCAATGATTTAATTTTTTAATGTGTTTGATAACTCACTTTCGCAAACCACTTAAATAAAATATTTTCAATGAAAAACTGTGGAAAACCTTAGTAGTCAAAAGCATTAATGTATCCAATCAAACCTTATTTAAAGAAAATTTTATCATTTAATTACATTAACTTTATATTCTTTCTTTTTTTAACTTTTATTAATGTAAAATAATTAAAATAGATAAATCATTTTTTATTTTTTTTTGTAGAATACTAAACAATTTTTATTGTAAAAATTCATTACTTAATTAAATGCTTTACAACTATAAATTTGGTAATTAATTTTTCCGTGTTGATTTTTTTTTTTAGTTTATCAAACATAGTCTTATTTTTTTTAATAAAGTACTATTAACCCTCAAATAAGTATATACGAATCAAAAACAATTTCTCTTGAATGAGTGAACATAGGAAATAAATTAATAAGTTCCACAAGATTTCAATTTCAAATTGTCTCTTGAAACTTTTATGATATTATTTATATATGTTTTTAAATATTTTGTTGACAAATATTAATTTTGTTGAAGTGATAATTGTAATACGTGATATATATATAATTATATATTCAAAATATATATACGTCAAACCTCTGCCTATGTACTTACCATTATTTTTTACTTAATGTTATTTTCTAACAAAAAAGAATTTCCTAGTTATGAATAACGTAAATGAAAATTTTTGCTAATCTAATTTTTTTTCTTATAGTTAACTTTTCTCTTTTTAGTTCCTTCATATGTATTCCAAATTATATATACAAAAGATATATGTCAGTCGCGAATTTAATTACAATAGTCAGTTAATAAAAAAGTAATATTGTACTTAACTTTTTCTAAGGTTTTTCTTTTACAAAAAAAAAAGTCCTAATTATGATTAACATATATGAAAATTGTTAACAGTCTAGTTTTATTTTATTTTTTAAGAAAAGAAGAATTTTAAACAAATTTTTAAATAAGAGCTATATACAATTTTCATTGAGTGAAATGTTGGGAAATTTCAATCCAGCAATCTTAGTTTTGAATAAATAATGAGTCATGGTTGTCTGCCTTGAGTTCAATTCCTTTGTTCAATGGTTCTATTCCTTTGTTCAATGGTGTGAAAAGTCAGCTGAAAATGACAACACATAACAATAAGATACAACAGGAAGGGCTTTGTCATGTGAGCTTGAAGTATAAAAAGGGGTTTTAGTGCTGGTATTTTATCATAGTGTTCCCAGTTCATAACAACCCATCCCTTCTAATATCTATATAACAAGCAAAAGCTATCTATTTCTTCATCATTATTCTGGTTTTGCAGTCCACTTTCTCTTCATAGAGGGTACAAGTGCAACGAAAAGCTGTTAGTAAGGTGCTGTCTGGTCTAAATTCATTTACCAGCTTCGTTATCGTCTTTAATATTCCTAGCTCTAGCTTTAACTTATGTAACTACTTATTTTTAATTCTTTGATCCTGGTATAAGGCCCTCATTTTTTTATTAAATTCTTTCTTTTGATGAGATAATTAAGTTGTTCTACATTATATTAGGTGCCTCATCAGCCAATCCAGATTCTCTTGTGTTTTTCAATGGCTGTTTCAACGGTCCACCATCAAGAGTCCTCAATTTCTCGATACACTTATCATGTATTCTTGAGTTTTAGAGGTGCAGATACGCGTAAGAACTTTACAGATCACCTTTACATGGCTTTGGTGCAAGCAGGGATTCACACATTTAGAGATGATGATGAAATTGAGAGAGGAGAGAACATAAGAGATAAGATTGAAAGAGCACTGCAAGAGTCAAAAATATTTATCATTGTCTTCTCAAAGAATTATGCCTCATCAACATGGTGCCTTAACGAACTTGTAAAGATAATGGAGCATAGGAAATTCTCCAAACACATTGTTTTGCCAATTTTCTATGACGTGAATCCATCTCAAGTGAAGAAGCAGACAGGGAGTTTTGCAGAAGCGTTTGCTACACATGAAGAGAGCTTCAAGTCTGAGATGGACATGGTACAAAGATGGAGGGCTGCTTTAAGAGAAGTTGCGGATTTGGGAGGCATGCTTCTGGAAGATAGGTAAGCAAGCTTTAAACTATTCGATCCCTTCTTAGAAATTGCAATCTTATATATGCCCATACTTTCATGATAGTCTTTTCACCACGTGATTGAATATTTTAATATTTCTTTGGCTCATTTGTGATACTTATGACAAGTCAGACTCAGAGTTGATAAGGGATTATTATTCTCCCAATTGAGGTTTAAGTTCAAAGTAAAAATGTTCTCTTCCTTAGCCTCGTACGGATGTAGTACAAAACATTAATTTTATTCTTGATTTTGATATGTAGGGCTATCGGATATAAGTAAAAGCATCGATCTAGTGAAAAATAATTACTCCATCTACCTCATGGGGTCATGAAATGATTGGCCCAATTTTTTTTTAATTTCTCAAATTGTTTTTTTCATATCTAAAAGTCCATTGACTTCTAAGTTGACACTCCTTTTAGTGTGTTCTATATTACAGTAAATTTCACAATGATCAAAAAGTTATAATGACAAGAGATAAAGATCTAATTTTATTTTATTAAATCCAATGCACTTTTCTTGAATTTTATACTATTAAAGTAGGGACCAACCAGGGCTGGAGCGCCCCTTTATGATGGTTTTTAAAATTTTTTATAAATATCATTCATAGATTATATATTTTTCAAAGTTTTAAAATTTTTTTATATATTATATATTTTTTAATAATTTTTAAAAATAATTTTTTATTAAATAATTAATATAATATAAAATAATAAAATAATTTTATAAATATCATTCAATTTTATTCAAATTTTTTAATTTTTTTAATTTTTTTAATTTTTTAAATTTTTTCATCCATATTTCTCTCTTTTCTTTTCTATCTTTATATTGTGAAATTATAAAGAGGTAAAATTTTTATTTAATTAATTAATTAATTAATATTATTATGATTATTTATTTTTTTCAACTCTATTCTATTTGCTCATATATTTTAAGTTTCTATAGATTTTTTCTTTTAAATTTCTATGAATCATCAACCATATTCTTTTTTTTTTGTTATATAAGTTATATCTCCTACTTGTTATGATTTTTATTTTCTATTATGTGGATTTTATTTTTAATGATTTTAATTTTTAAAAATTAAAAATTATTACATATGTAATTCTCAAATATAGATTCTAGTGTTGCATTATTGGTTATTGTTTAAAATTTCATTAATATATTATTTTTATTAATCTTAATTATATAAGAAAAAATTATTTTGAGTATATGTTTTTAATGTGCTTTACGTTTTATATTTAGTTGAAAGGAAATTATCTTGAGTATAAGAAGAAATTATTAATTATGTATATCGTATTTAACTATTTATATTTTCTGCATTATAGTTTAATATTTAGTATCATAAACTTAAATATAATAAAATAAGAATATTGGATGTTGACTACATTAATTTGTTAGTCGTTTATATTGAAAAAGGTAAAACTTTGAAACAAAATGGATAATAAGTTTTTTACAAATAATTTAGTTGTTTATATTAAAAAGGATATTGCCATTGTCGAATAAAATTTTCCTAGAGAACTATTATAAGTTTTTTTTCTTTTTTTTATTTACATGTTATAAAATTATTATCTATTATAAATATTTTGATTATTAATGTTTAAGTTCGATATATTAATTTTAACAATTTTTAACTTTTATTCTTCTTAACCTTTGGCCCCTTTAATAAAAATTAGCTAATTCCACCCCTGAGATCAACAAAAAGAAGTAGAAAATAATAGGGATGGCAAAATAACCCATACTTGATGTGTTTTGTCTTGCCCGACCCAATAGGGGCGGGGTTTTTTTGGTTTGAAAATCAAGAGCTGAGGCTGATGGGTTGGGTTTTACAATTAAAAAAAATCAGATTGACCTTTGCATTAGGTTTAGCTTGCCCGCTTCAAGGAATAAATAGAATATTTTATATTATATCTAATTTTATATGTATTGATATATGTGAAGTATATTAATAAATATATGATTTAGCATTAATCAGAGATATTAGCATAAAAATATATTTAAAAGTAATTAAGATGTAATTTACATTAAAAATATAAAAATTTACATGAAAATTTAATTAAAATAATATAAAAAAATAATTCGAGACAAGACTAGTGGAACTTATAAAGTTTTTTTGGTTTGAGGTTGGGTATTAAGTTGATAAGCCCATGTCTAAGCGGAATAGGTTTAGAATGTAAAAATATAGAGTTGGGTCGAGTTTGGAACAAGGAATTCCGCTGTGATCCTTAGTATGGAGTGGTACCTTTCAAAATACCAATCAAGTTTAAACAAACAAACAGGTCAAAAATTTTTACACAATTTTTAAGATGTCACCTGCTCAATTATATTTTGTATATATGTATATTTATTTATTTATATCATAACTTATATATTTTAAAATTTGTAGGCATGAATCACAGTTCATTCAAGATATTATTACACAAGTTGAAAATAAACTCCATCGGACTACTTTACATGTCCCTCCGTATTTAGTTGGAATAGATTTTCTCGTGACACGCATTAGTTGGTGGTTAGGAGATGAATCAAATAAGGTTGGCATAGCAACAATTTGCGGAATTGGAGGGATTGGGAAGACAACCATTGCCAAAGTTGTTTACAATCTTAACGTCCAAAGATTTGAAAGTTGCAGTTTCCTTGCTAATGTTAGAGAGACTACTGAAGAACGCAATGGCCTGGTTCATTTGCAAAGACAACTTATTTCAGATATCTTGAAAGGGAAAGCAAAAAAAATATACAATTCAGACGATGGAATCATTAAGATTAAAGAAGCCATACGTCGTAGACGTGTGCTTCTTGTCCTAGACGATGTGGATGATTCAGAAAAAATAACTGAAATAATTGGAGCGAAAATTCCTTTTCATCCAGGAAGTAAAATCATTATAACTAGCAGGCATCGATGTCTACTGAGTGATCCTTTTATTAGGCACATGTTTGATCTTGAAGCATCATCAAGTTATGGAGACTTATGCAAGGTATTTGAGGTAAAAGAATTAGCTTTCAATGAATCACTTCAACTTTTTGATTGGTATGCCTTCGGACAGAATGATCCAATTGACAGTTATATGGAATACGCAAAGAGTATAGTAAACCACTGTGGTGGGCTTCCATTAGCTCTTCAAGTTTTAGGTTCTTCTCTGTCTGGTAAAAGTATAAATGTGTGGAAAAGTGCATTAGAGAAATTGAAAGCAATCCCTGATAGCAAAATTCAAAAGATTCTAAGAATAAGCTATGATTCCTTAGAAGATGATCATGATAAAAATCTATTCCTTGACATAGCTTGTGTATTCGCCGGGAAGGATAAAGATTACACAACTACAATTCTGGATGGTTGTGATTATTATACAGCAATTGGTATCGAAAATCTCATAAATAGGTCTCTTCTGGTTGTTAATGAAAAAAACAAGCTGATGATGCATCAAATGATTAGAGATGTAGGAAGGAACATTATTCGTCAAGAATCTCCTAACCTTGGGAAACGAAGCAGGTTGTGGCATAAAGACGCATTTGATGCATTGAAAGAAAAAATTGTAAGAGAGATTTCATTTTCTTCTACTTTCTTTTATGCAATATATTTTCTTATGTCATACTCTTTTTTAATTAAAAAATTCTTTCTTCAATAGGGTACAAAAACAATCAAGTGCCTCACCATTGACCTACAAAGATTGCTAGAGGAGAAGTATGGAAAGATAGTTGCAAATCATTCAAAAAATTCATTTCTCATGTCAAATGAGGTAGATATTGAAATCGATGCATTTGCAAAGATGCAGAGACTTAAACTACTTCAGCTAGATTATGTAAAACTTAAAGGAGACTACAGAGACTTCCCGAGAAGCTTAATATGGTTGAGTTGGCATGGATTTCCTCAAGAATATCTTCCTACAAATTTAGATATTTCCAAGCTAGTTGTTCTTGAGATGCTCAACAGTAGCCTCAAACGTGTTTGGAATGATACAAAGGTGTGATACTGCTTAATTTCTCTTTACTTTTTGAGAAGCAAAAACAAAATTATATGGCTAAGTGTTTTTTTTTTCTACAGTACTTTCTTCCAAATCTGAAGATCCTTAATCTCAGTCACTCCCATGACCTTCTCAAAATCCTTAACTTATCATGTCTTCATAGTCTTGAGAGGTTGATGTTGAAAGATTGCACAAAGTTGATTGAGGTCGATCAATCCATTGGTGAGATAAAGACTCTTACTATTTTAAACCTTAAAGGTTGCAAAAGTCTTAGGAAACTTCCAAAGACAATTGGTTCGTTAGAATGTTTGGAAGAGCTTATTTTATCTGGCTGCTCAACACTTGATGATATGCCTAGGGATTTGCAGAATATGAAATCATTGAGGGTGCTTAACTTAGATGGAACTGCTATTTGTGAATCAAATTCATGGTTGTCTTGGCTATCACTTAAAAGAAGCAAAGAGTTGGGTTTCTTTTGGGCATCTTTGCCATGTTCTTTGGTAAAGTTGAGTCTTGAAAGTTGCAGACTATCTGATGATGCTATGCCCGCTGATTTGAGCTACTTACCTTCCTTGAAATCCTTAAATTTAAGTAGAAACCCAATTCGTAGCCTTCCTAAGAGTATTAGCCGGCTTAGAAAGCTTGACGAACTTTTGCTAACTTGTTGCAAAGATCTCCAATGGCTTCCAAAGCTTCCAATAAATTTGAGTGGCTTGCGCATGAAAATGTATCAATCGATGTACAGCTATGCAAGTCTATCACTCTTATTGTCTTTGAAAAGGTTTATTCTCTTTGGTTGTGAAAAGCTAACCGAGATTGAAGGTGTGTTCAAGTTTGAACCATTTGAAAACTTTGAAGTGGAGGAGATCAAATGCTTATTCAATATGGACTCAATCAGCAGCATTCAATTGCAAGTTTATAACTATCTTACGGACACAAAAATGATCACTACCCCACAGGTTTTTTCTCAATCTAATATTAGTTTTTATTTTCTTATTTTGTTTTATTCCATTGGTTCATAAATAATGGTTTCAATGACCCAGGTATTTCATGAGGGTGGCATAACTAGCTGTTTCGTTTCTGAAAGTGAGGTTCCAATCTCGTTTGAGCATCGCTGTAAAGGGCCTAAAATTTCTTTTTCATTGCCACAAAATCCTGGTGAAAAAGTTAGTTGGTTGAATCTATGCATCAAATATTCTCTCGTGAGTGATGAGATATTTGAATTTCTACCATCTGTGTATATTGTTAATGAGACCAAGGAGCTGGTTTGGGCTTATTTCTCAAGTTTCATTGGAATTCCTGAAACCAAAAGTGACACAATCCTGTGGGTAATCCACTGGCCAGTAAAGGATTACCAGTTGGAAAATGGCGATTTGGTGAGCTGCAAATTAATATCTTCTGGTTTAGAGATAAAAGAATTTGGTGTTACATATGTAGCAGAAAAGAAGGATACACATGAAGATGACTCCCGACTTTACTATCAAGGTACGATTGCAAGTGATAGTATTTATAACAACAACTTTTTTTTTGCTTTACTTTATATATCAATAGTTTTATTTATAACTTGTTTTCTTTATGGAAATTTTTAATATTAACCTACGAATGTTTGAGGGAAAAAAAAACTAATTCTATCTTAAATTCTAATTGATTTGATAATTCAAAATTTTGGGTCATAGTTTCTTCTGGTGTATTTTTTATAGCCATATATTTTTTGTAGCCATATATTACTATGTTCATACAAGACTTGCCTATTTTGTCTTTGACACATTGGTCCATGAAAATTCAAAAGATAATCCTCGTGGTCCACACAAGGCTTGCCAAATAAGCCCAAAATATTATGTACAAGGACCCCGCTGTTGGTCTAGGCTCGAAGGCTAGGCTTGATTGGGGTTAAGCTTAGGCCTTAATTTTTAAGCTCAAGCTCAATCTGAAGCAATTATTATTTTAAAAAATAACATATATTTTGTTTAATTTTAATTTTTAATATATAATTTTTTTAATATTATAATAATAAATAAAAAAATAAATATTTAGGTTTGGTCACTTTAGGTTAACTATGGCCATAAATATATTATTAATGCCAGGATTGTTGAACTACACTTGGTTATAAGGTATTGTCCATTTTGGATTTGCCCTCATAGTTTTAGAGTTTTAAGAAAAGGCATCTCATAAGGGAAGAGGCATGCCCTTACTTATATGTCACAGTCCATTATTGCTAGGCTCTTAAGGATGTGTTGTCTTCCCCCCTCAACTCAAGGGCGTACTGTGACTTTTTTCAGACAAAGTTGTGTTTTCTCTAAGGGCCAATATAAGATCCCCATATGCAGTGCCAACAGTTGGTGCTTAGATTTTTGAATTGCGCTTGGTTATGAGTTATTGTTGACTTTGGGATCTATCCTCATGATTTTTCATTTTGAGGAAAATCATCTCATAGGAAAAGGGGCATGCCCTTACTTATAAGCCACCTTCCAATACTTGGCTCTTAAAGATGTGAGATCTTTCCCCCGTCAACAAAGACCTCTTCACTCATCCGTTGTCAACTTTTTCCCTATAATTTAAACATGAGACTTCCAACTTAATTGAGGTTTCAAATTCTTAACCATTTAGATATTATCTTACGTCGAATGCTAATTTTAAAATTAACTAATTTTTTCCCTAATCACTATGTTGTATGTATAAGGTCTTATTTTATTGTATTTCTAAATTATATTTACTTATACACATATTCTCATGGAAACATAGTATTCGATGATTAAAACTGTATAATAATGGCATATCTATTTCTAACATCTTTCAGGAAATGAAGATATTTGGAGAAAGATTAAGGTGAAAGTAAATGAAGAGTTACTCAATTTGGGCTCTAGTGGGAATGTTAAAGTGCAAATTTACAACTATTTCGAGGAACCAATAATAGTTGCTTCCCCTCAGGTTTCCTTGATCTCCCATCTAAGCTTTTTGGTATATTATATTTCTCTGTTTTTGTAACTTATAATTAATTCAATATTGTTACAGGTGCTATATGATTGTGGGATAATTAGCATGTTTGTTCCATATGACTTTGCATGTTGGGGTAGGTACAGCCATCATGTTATCGGGAATAAGGTTTCATTTACAGTGGCTCGAAGCTCTAGTCAACAAATTTGTTGGATAAACTTTATGGTGGCTCTTGTTGCTGAAGACGATCAAATATTTGATTTTTTATCACGTATTGAGATTGTCAATGAGACCAAATCTACTACATGGACTTATCATAGACGTTTCACTGGAATTCCTAAAGCCAAAAACGCCCTTTATTGGTTAAGTTCTTGGAGATTTATGGGTGAAGATGGTGATCGAGTGAGCTTTACAGTGTTTTCTGATTTATACGTAAAAGAATGTGTCATTGATCTCATATATGAATCAGATGACAACCTTCTGCATAAATGCAACTCTACTTATGAACATTCGCCAGCTACAAGTGCAATTTTTAGATGGCTTTTTCCAGTTTTTGTATACCTTTTGTTTATGTCTCAAAGGAGTCTTTATAGGATTCAATGTTTAGACAAATGAGAGTAATATTTATATATAGGATTTAGTTGGAGCAAATAGGACAATTCATCTGCCTCTTGTTTAATTAAAAGATTCATCCCCTCGTACGGTTTTTGACGTATCAATGCAATAATAGCCGTTGAAGCAATGTATTTTTTTTTCTTTTAAATTTAATATCACCTTCATGCTCTAATTTCTCTATCTTTCTCCTCTCTTATGGTCTTATCTATTTCAATACCTTGAAAACCTAGTCTTATATATATATGGCCTACCCAAATTGACAAGCCAAAATAAAAAAGGGCAAGCATGTTTTGGTTATGGTCGGTTTCAAGGGTAAATCTAAATCAAATCAAAGATTTTGGTTTTTATATATTTTTTTAAATCAAACCAAATCATATTATAATGAAAATCAAAGTAAATTATGGTTTCTTATTCTATTTCAAGATCTTACAACTAAGCCCATTTTTTTTAAAAAATTTCAAAATTTCAAATAAATTAAAAAGTAAGAACCCGTTATTTAAGTCATCAACTACTGTTGAGCATAACGCCTTAGCAACATGACAATATTTCCTTATCTGATCTTGTTTCTTTCCTATCCCTTATTATATCTTTGTCTTCAATTTTATTTATAAATTATTTAATCTCGTGTAACAATTTTATCAATTTACACAATATAAATATACATATCAAGCTCTCAAATTAATACGTGAAAACGTCCCCATTCTTTACATGTTTTATCTTGGAATATACCATTTTGACCAATTTCCTTAAGCATGTCCTCGTCTTCTTCCACTACATCCACAACTACAACCACTTGTATATTACTCATTGCATCTTTGTCAAGTCTTCCTTTTTCCTCAAGCTTCAATCATCCATTCCATATCAGGCTTTTACATGACAATCTACCTCCTAGCTTGTGGAGACAAGATCTTCAAGGCTATGTCAATGGAAAAATCCCTTTCTCACCATGTCTTCTCAATCAATCAAGACTAACTTGACCTCCCATTAATAACAGAATTGTGTATGCGGTAAGAGGTAGGGGTATGTATAAAACGGTATGGGTGGAGCCTAATGGAGCGTCAGGTGGTCTTTTATCTTTATGGCAGGAGGATTTTTTGGAGGTTGAATGTTTAGTCATTAATTAATAGGAACTTCATATTGCTTATTGGTTCTATTAGGAAAAGAAATTGGAAAATTGGCATTGGTAATGTGCATGTACCATTTGTTGAAAGGCTTAAGAGTGAATTCTGAGAAGCACTTATAGAGAAAATGAGAGAGTTTGAGATCCTTTGGTGTTCAAGAAGGGACTTTGATACAATCCTTAGGCAAAATGAGAGACAGAGGGCTAATTCAGATTATAGGGAGATGGAACTTTTCCAAAATTTTGTTAATATAATGTGATTTGTGGATCTTTATATGTGGGGCAATAACTTCACTTGGGCTAATAGTCAGCAAAAACTGGTTTTTAGTAGGCTCAACCGTTTCCTTGTAGATGAATTTGTGTTAAAGAGGTTTAAGTCGTTGAGACAATAGTGCTTACCATCTTCACTTTCGAATCATAATCTAGTGGTCTTAGGAGAGAAAAATGTTCAACAGGGACAAAACCTTTTTATTCTTTAACCACTGGTTGAAAGACAATAGTTTCCAAGAAGTGTTCTTTAAAGCATGGGAATATAGCGGCAGTAGAGTGGGAGGGGAAAGAAACATATGGCAAAGGTAGAGCCTCGCCAAACTGGCTATTCAAACCTGGTAAACGACCAAATGTGATAGCTCACAGAAAAATAATGTTGTTCTTAAGAAGGGTATACAAACAAAGTTAAGAGATTGGCAAAATCGATAAGGAGATGATTCCTTTAGGGAGGATATAAAGATGATGAGATCTAAATTGTGGCTCTTTACAGAGAAGAGGAACGCTCTAGGCAACTGAAATCGAGGATGAGATGGTTTTTGGAAGGCATCGAAATACTAAATTCTCCCATGCAGTAGCTTCGGTAAAGAGGAGAAGGAATTTGATTGATTAGTTTAAAGGTTAATGATTCTATTATTGAAAATCCTCAAGGAATTAGGGAGGAGGAGGCAAGGTTTTTCAAGAATCTCTATGGTAACCAAAAGGTTATTGAGCTCAGGGATTGAGATATGGAGGCTTTGACACTATTTAATAGTTCTTTTATAAGGCTTTAGAGATTTTTTTATAAAAAGAGGTCAAAGAGGCTATTTTCAATGGCGATTGGAATAAAGCATCGAGTTCGAATGGCTTTAACTTTAGCTTTTTGAGAGCTCAGAGGACAACAATCGAGGATGAAGTCATGTCTTTTCTGTAGAATTTCTATGATGCAGAGGTCTTCAATGAATGGATTAATGCTCTTTTCATAAGCCTTATCTCAAAAAACCATAATCTAATAGCTCTAAATGAGTATAGTCCGATAAGTCTTGTGAGTTATATCTACAAAGTGGTTACTAAGGTTTTGGCTAGTAGACTTCGAATGGTAATCGAGGAAGTGGTGAGGCCAAACCAATTTACATTTATTAAAGAAAGATAAATTATTGATTGTGCCCTTATTGCAAACGAGCTAGTAGATTATATGCAAAAGAGTAAGGAAGATGGCGTTTTCTTCGAAGTGGACTTTGAGAAGGCATATAACAGTGTTAATTGGATTTTTTTGCAATTTGTGATGAGAAAACTTGGTTTTAGTGAGAGTTAGAGGACTTGGATTGAATCATGTGTATCAACAGCTACTGTTTAGGTTCTAGTCAACGCTTCCTCAATAAGGTAGGTGAAAATGAGGTGTGGGTTGAAACAGGGCTACCTTTTGTCACTTTATCTTTTCAACCTTATCGCAAAAGCTTTTAGTGGCCTTTTGAATAAAGCTATAATTTGTGGGTTGTGTAAAGGCATTGAGGTCAGAAATAGTGGTTTTTCAATTTCTCAGCTTCAATATGTGAATGACACAATGATTTTTAGTTCCCCAAACCTTCATAGTGTTATTAATATAAAAGGGTACTTTAGTGCTATACACATCATTTTGTATGAGTTGTTTATTGAATTGTCAAAAAATAAAAAATAATAAAAATAAAAAAGAGATAAATATGAAAAGGATAAAGATATGTGTGCACCGATCCTAATCTTAGATGAATTGAAAAATCTGAAATAGATTGTTGAATTAAAACTTAAGAAACCAATTCAAGAAAAAATAAAACACATTGGTTATAAATATACTCAAGCATCAATGTCAAAAACCAGCACAAGGTGAAGAATGAACATAAAGAGAAAAAAAAAAGAAAATAGTTCTTGAGTTCTTGGGTTATTGGATTTCAATTTTTTTAGATCTAAGAAAATCAATTTAGTTTTTAAGGAAAGTATTTTGATAAAAGAGACATAAAAAAAAAGTAGAAAAAGAGTCCTAGTCTCTTGAATAGGGTTTAGAGAACTGCTCCTCATTCTTAACAATTCACACTTGGTATATAGATTTGTAGTTTAGCCTTGTTTTAGGGTTTCTCAGCCCAATTAGGTAAGTTCTTTTTTCATATGATTTTAATTTTAATTTTAATTTACTTTTTTTGAGACATTTAAGAATTAGAAGTTCACATAATTTATGCAAATTCTCTAATGATTAAATCTCAAGAATGCCAAGAGTGGCTTCTTGAGAATTTCTAGATGAGAAAATTCTCCAAAATTATGCCATGAGCATTTGGAGGTTTTGAAAAATTTTTGATATGCAAGGATTCACATAAATATTTAAATATAAAAAAGATAAAATTATAGAATTAAATAAATAACTTCTCTACTGATGAAATCTCAAGAATGCAAAAATTAGCTTCTTCGAATTTCTAGATGAAATTTTTTTTTTAAATATTCAATATCAAGAATTTTTATTTATTTATGTCACAAAATTAATAAAATAAAAAATAGGAATAGGAAATAGAATCAAATATTGAACTAGCTTTTATTTAATAAGGCTTGAAGGACTCGTAATTGATAAGGTACCAATTAAATGGGCGTTGTGCGAGTGCTAATACCTTCCTCACACGTATGTTAACTTCTGAATCCCAAATCTATTTCATAGACTAGAACAACCAAAGTCAAGCCTAGGACTACATTGGAGAAAAAATAAATCCACTTGGATGATCAATCGCACCTAAACAAAAAAAATTGATGACGGCTCCTCTTAAGTCGAACTATTGAGTTTTCGAAATAACTATATTAACTTTTGTTTTTGGGACTTTTCTATATGTCTTTTGTTTAAATCCCAAAAAAACTTGTATCAGATGCAGAGTTTAGTTAGACAGTAATTACTAGAAAGATTTAATTGGAGCAAACGGGATAGCTGGGGTGCCTTTTGTTCTAATACATCCATGGCTATCATATCTCTAAAAAACAAAATATAATATGTTTTGAAATGTCCATTATAATTTTAAAAATAGATTATGAAGTTCTTTGGAGCTTTACCTTTCTTTGTATTGGTACATATGCATCTGGTCTATCCTGTAAGTGAACTATCCATCTCTTAGATCATGGAGAAGAAAAGTATTTGTTTTAAAAACTCATTTGTTATATAAAGATAACTAAAGAAGGACGGGGGGAGCTCTCGTAGCTCAGTTGGTTAGAGCACCCGTTTAGTAAGCGGGAGGTCTTGAGTTCAAGTCGTCAACGAGAGCAGCGGCTATTGTTTTTGCTTTATTCCTTTCTGTTCATATAACTGTAAAAACTAACTTCCAACAAAATCACACAACCACACTCCTGACCCACTCCTCCCACCATGTCATAGGTCCCAACCACACAAATAAAAAACAACAATAACAATCACAAACTTACTCTCCAACGACAACAAGCAACCAACAGAATCATGTGTAACATTGTGATTTTTTTGTTTTAACCTTAGCATGCCCTTTCTTTCTTCTTCTTCATGCCAATCCCAAACCCTTCCAACAAAATGTTTCTTGCCAGAAAACCTCCCCTCTTTCCTCCACAAATTCCATCCAAAACTGCTACTAAGTTCAGGTGTATTCCAAGAAATCACTGTTTCTGCTTCCCTTAACGCCATAGCTGCTGCTGCTGCTGCTGCCTCGGGCTCTGGTGCCACTGTCCATGGGGCTGTCACTTCTGCCATCACCCAAGTGGCTGTTACTGCCGTTGCTATTGCCTCTGGGGCTTGTCTCTCCACCAAGGTGGACTTTTTATGGCCCAAAGTGGAGGAGCAGCCAGGTACCCATTCCTTTTTGTGGGGGTTTATGATTGGAATTGTTTGCAAGTTTCTGGATTTGGAAATTTTTCTTCATTTAGTGCTTTTTGAAATTGTGGGCAATCCTCTAGAAGGTATATTGCTTGTGCTAGATTAGGGAAATTCTAGAGGCCTACTTTGCTCAAATTTGGAATTTAAGGAGCTTCTTATAATCTCAAGATATTTTATATTCTAGAGGCCTAGTATAGTTTTTTGGATGTACATTTCAGTCTGCAGCACTAGTTTCAGTTTTCTAATTCTGACGTTTGTGTGTACACATCAAAATCATTTATTATGTGCTTTCTTCTTCAGGTCTTGTAGCCTTCCCTTATGTTCGCTACTCCATAACTTCTCTGTGATTCAATTATTTGGTTGTTGCTTATCTCGGTCCAAATGTTGAGTGTCTTTCTTAGTAGAAGCGCGCTCTCTCTCAGACACGCGAATTCACATATTTTGAGCCTAGATGCTGTTGCTTTTGCTGCTTTCCCAAAATTATGGGATAATACCTATGAATAAAGGATGTACTAGTTTTTATTGGGGAAAAACCTTGTGTTCCTGTTATTGCATCATTTGTAAATTCTTGATGTTAGCTTCATTAGCACGAGCATGACTGAACCATGTACTTTAATAATGGCAACCTCCTGCTTGCTTTCTTTTTGTTACTAAATGTCTAATCATTTGATGTCTGCTCATTGAGTCTTTTTTTTTTTGTATTTTCTTCTCCCAATTATTCATATTAACAGCATCAATCAATAGTGCAGGTTCTTTTACAGTGGAAGGAATTGATGTGACTGGCTATCCTATATTTAATAAGGCAAAGGTTTGCCATCTCTAGTTGCCTCATGACTTCCATATAGTCCTCTTCTGCCACTAAACACTGAATTTGTGAAGGCAGGTGCAAAAGGCTATTGCATTTGCGAAAAGAGCTCACAATGGGCAGTTTCGGAAAACAGGAGACCCTTATCTATCACATTGTGTTCACACAGGAAGAATATTAGCCATGTTGGTTCCATCAAGTGGCCACGGGTATGAAACTGTATACCCAACTACTATTAAGTTTATGACAATTGTTCAGCGCATTTCTATTACCTTGTTCTCGCAAAAAACTTTCATTACTATGCTTTTCCCTTTTCTTTGCTGTGTGAGTGCAAGATCTCTCTCTCTCTCTCTCTTCTCTCTCTCTCTCTATATATATATATATATATATATATATATATTCCTAATCTGTTTATCTGTCTGTCTCTCTTTTAAAACAGTATGTATAATAACCAGTGGCAGCTGCTGTTTAAATTAATGTATGAAAGATCAGTTATGCATCGCTCTTGTTATATGTAGTAACAAGAGATCAAAATATTACCACTTTCAATGAATCCTGTCAAGAGAAAACTGCATGTATGGTAAACTATTTTATTCCTTCAGCTATATCATGCTTTTTGACTCCTATATCAGCCTAGTGTACCACTTTGTTGCTCTATCTCTAAAGTTGTAGACCAATATGTTACGACTGTTATTCTCTTTCAGGGGCCACTTTGATAGTATGCAGGTACAAGCTTCACTCTTATGTTGTAGGGGGGAAAGCATCTTAGAGTGAAAAATTACCATTTTGATGTTTTAGATGGTAACTATAGCCATTTGATTGTTAAATGTTAATGATTAACTGTTAGCCTGTTTGATAACAACAATTACAAGGGTAAACAGATAATTGAACTCAATTCTTGATGTTCTAAACTTGGTTCATTTTTTCATATCCTGATAATATTAAGTTGAGTTAACTGTATTATTTCTTCTCATTAAAAAAACTAGTCTTTTGAAAGTGCCAGGCTGCTCGAAACATGCTTTAAACAGTTGACTCCTTAACTAAGATAATAAAGTTTGCTGCAGGCTGTTGATACTGTTGTGGCTGGGATACTACATGATGTTGTTGATGACACACGTGAAAGTTTGCTCAGCATAGAAGCAGAGTTTGGCGATGATGTGGCAAGGTTGGTAGCTGGTGTGTCTAGACTAAGTTACATAAATCAGGTAAAGGCATCATTTTGATTCGTTGTGTCTGTATAGTTATTATCATTTATCTGTTTTAGTTTTTGTTTTCATCAAAATCTATAAGCAGAAAAGCTTACCAACTTTTTTACACAGTCATTATCTCATCCCTTTAATAAGAATGTTTTATTGTTCAACCTTTTCCTATGGTGGTAGGTGCTGGCTCATGGGAAGAGCTGACCCCAGATCAGTAGTCCATTATTGTTTGGGCATGTTTTGAAAATTAAAGGAATAACTTACAGTAAAGAAGTAAAGAATAATAAGTGGCAGATTGACGGTAGTATTCTGTCATATCTTTTGTTAAATAATATGTTCTTATACTGACATGGGAAGTTCCAGTAACTCTGCAGTTGTAGGTCATTTTGCATTGAAGAGTGAATTGTGGAAAAATATTTTCATGTCTGGAGTTTGAGATAATATTGATGAGAACTTCCAAGGATGTGTAATTCAGCTCTTTCAACCTTAATCAAAGCCCAAAAAGAAAAAATAATAAAATGAAAAGCATCATATAGCCATGTTTATCTTCCTCCTGGTTTTAGTGTTTTTAATTTGAAAATTCTGAGAAATTATCAAGAAACTATTTATGGCATAGCTTTTCGAAGCTAGTTCTCCATTATTTCATTTACCCTATTCCAGAAAGCAGGAAGTGGTTTACTTCCAACATCTATTTTGGTGTGTTAAGTGTTAATGCAAACATATGTCTCACTAAGTGTTGCAATTATAGGAAGCTGTAACGGTGTTGCTGCTCAAGGAAAAAGTTGAAATTACAAATTCTTGTCCTCTCTTCTAATTGTTTCTCCTGCTGACTCAGTGTCGTTCTTGACATCATTGGTGTTGTATCCTGTGTTACCACCGCCACAATGCCCATGTATCACAAGATTTTCTTAAATTTTATCCCCCCTATATATATTTTTTCTCATGTTATTTAATTAGTATACTGTTGTGCAGCTTCTACGGAGACATCGCAGGATAAATGTGAACCAGGGTACCCTTGGTCATGAAGAGGTAGAATATTACAGACTTGTTGATACAACAAATAATGTAACATGAATGATTGAATTTAGAAAATGAATTGTAGGCTTGAACCATAGGTGAAACTTCATATTTACATGATTACAAATTTCAATAAACTAAATACCAATTCAGTGTTTCCTTCTACTATAATTAAATTGTATATCTAATCTATGAGTTAATTTTTTTTTCTTGTTAGTGCTTGTTGTTGGGAGGTTGGTTTTATAAATTTTGAGTGCATTCTGTGACATGCTGTGAAGTTTCAAATCATTACTGTTTTCAAACTTAGAAATGGATTGGTCAAGAACTAATTTTAACACACAATGGAAATAGAAAGGAAATTGTAGAAAACAAATATTGCATGGATTCTAGTCATAGTAGGTACGACTAACTGTGATATGATATAAGGGTCTTAGTAGCAATTGCATGGATCTCTTTCCCTAAGGTAGTGTCAAGTTCAGTAGTTCAAAGCACTCTACTTGTTCTTGGGGTTATCATCAATGATTTATCTCAATGCATATGGGTGGTGAGGATGGCATCTGCTGAAAGGACTAGCTGGGTAGAAAACCTAAATGTTGGGTGATAGCTGATAGATAAGTATAAACTAAGCATGTGAGCACCAGTTGTGAAGCTATTGTTTCCCATACTCATACTCTCTTCTTCATCTTCTAAGGCAAATAATCTGCGAGTTATGCTCTTGGGAATGGTTGATGATCCACGCGTGGTACTTATCAAGCTGGCAGACCGTCTTCACAATATGAGAACCATGTAATACCTCATAACTTTTATCCATTATACAATTATCCTGGAAACAGTTTTTTTTTCTTTTTCTTTGAACTAATTCATTTAACAAACAGCATGGTCTTGGCCTAGTAGTTGTTACCCCTCCTTTGGAGGGTTAAGGTCAAAGTCTGAATCCCCCATCCACTGTGGACTTCCTCATATGTATTTAAAAAGCTAATTCATTAACAGGAAAAAAAATGTTTAATTCATTTCATGAATCTTTTGAATTTCAAAATTCTAAACCCTTTAGAGTCTTGCATTGTGAAAAATTGTATTTTCTTTGTCTTGAATATTTATAAAGAGAGTTTGCTCCACAGTATGTGCAGGTTTGAGAAATTCATAGATGAAATCTGTGTTACTATAATTCTTGAAATTTATGGTTGACATAGCTGAAGGTTGATTTTTATAGTATTGTTGTATGAACTGTTCTCATAGGTGTCATTATTCTGTACAGTTATGCCCTACCACTAGCAAAGGCTCAAGCTGTCGCTCAAGAAACCTTACTTATTTGGTGTTCCCTAGCTTCCAGATTAGGTCTGTGGGCACTGAAAGCAGAGCTGGAAGATCTATGTTTTGCTGTTCTTCAGGTAAGGGAGTGCATTTTGAGTCTATGGAAGATGAAAATAGCATATTATCATAATATCATTTGTAATATTAGTCGTACTTGATGATTTTATGTAGCAGATATGGTCTTTTTCTTGTACTCTATTCATGATGTTGTTTGAGCATTATTATCTCTTTTTGAGTGAGACATATATTTGATCTAGGCACTTTTCATCCATTGAGTTTGCTAATGTCATTGCTATGCGAACTATTTTATAATGGTACAGTTTAGGGTTTATTTTGGCCATTCAAGTTAGGCCTCTCCACCTATTGCCAGCATTATTTGAGATGCTTAACATGGTATTAAAGCATCTCTTGGTATGTTATCTATAATTGCTAAACCATAGCTTTCTTTTTCTTAAAAAAATGAAATCTACTGTTCTGTAAAGCAAATAATTTATCAGAAATTGGGAGACATATCATATGCATGCCTTGTTAAATTGGGGCATCAATCATGAACTTTTCACTTGATTTTTCAATTACAAATATATTTCTCTTTTGCCAAGTGTGGCAAAATAAAAAGGAAAAAGAACTTGTTCAGTGAATACAGATCTGGGTCCTATCACTTATACAGTTTCAGGCAGTTAGAGTATGGTTTGATGGATTATATGTTTATAATTGGACAGAGTTTTAGGGAACTGTGGCTACAAGTTTTCTGACAGCCATCGGTCAAATAGCCTCTTTATTGCCTTTTAGATTCATGTAGGAACAGCAATATTTTTGCATTCTTCCAATTCCTATTGCTTGAAACTAGCATTCTACAAGGTGCTGGACTCCATAGCTTTGACTTTTAGGTGCACGCTGTATGCACATCTTGGATGAATGTGTCATGATCAAGATAAACTATATGGATGTTGCCTACAGCATAATGAAGATGGTCAATGATAAAGAATCAGAAAGAAAATAGCAAGTTTTGATCTGCAGGAACCTGTAGACAATAGTCTTCTGATAATTAATGTCTTGACTTAAATTCTTGTCTGGCAGATATTATAGCTTCCAAACTCCTAATCTGAAGCCTTTCTGCTGCATATCAAGTTGAAGTAACCACATTTGTTTGAATTTTGTGGACACTGTGCTGCAGCCTCAAATTTTTAGGAAGCTGCGGGCTGATCTGGCTTCAATGTGGAGCACCAGCAATAAAGGAGCATATCCTAGAAGAATATCTGCAAAAGCCAGTTGGTCCTCTTTGGAGGAAAATGATTCAGCTCTTGATGATGAAGCTTTCATGAATGATGAAGATATCACTAGCATAAAGGTAAAAGCATATAGAATAGAACTGTGCTGCATCTATATGTGCCATATATTCTCTGTGATTGGTTGAAAGCTTGCTCTGGTGCATTATAATTTTGCCACCTTCAACAACTACCTTCCAATGGTGAAAATCTTTAGTTACATAATGTTGAGAAATACTATCTTTCTTTCAGAAAATTGAAGAAAAAATGAAAATTTTGAGGTGCAGAGGTTGTTTAGCCCTTCCTTTGATAGACTAAGTACAACCTGTTTTCCTTTAAGTGAACGTTTGAAACAAGTCAAAAAAGACTTAGTATGCCTAATAATTGAGCACCTTTTATACATGGTCTTGAAAGACATCGGAGGTACCTTCTAATTCTATATGAGTGCGTACTGAGCACTCAACAGCAGAGTTAGCTTCAATTCTTTAGTAAAAGACTTTTAGTGGATGAATTCATTGGAGGAGCTTCCTGCAGTTGACATGAATTGCTGTCCAAATTGGGCATGTCAAATGCAATGTAATGGTTATAATCAGTAGTTACTTTCTTTTTTTTGTTGCCAGATTGCTTTGTTTGTTGTTTTCTGCATATTTTGGAAGAGATCCATGCTCTGCTCAACTATAGTATTGACTTTCTTGCTTTTTCCGTCATGACACTTATATAACAACCGATGAAAGAAATCCAAAGTTAAAAAGGTGGTTACAGAGGAGGAAACCTTTTATAATTGTAGCTTGGACAGAATTTTCTTTTAAAAACAAGTACCAGACAGTCTTTTTTTCCTAAGATCAGATGCTATATTTCCCATGATTGGATGCATTCATGAGCATTATGTATATTGTGGCTTTCTCAATGTACGTGATAATAGTTCTGGCATAATGTGTGCACATGTGTGTGAATGTCTGAATATCTGTATGCTGAAGAGAAAAAAGGGTTGGCTGTTATTGTTTGGTGGGAAGACAGTTATAATAACAAGTCTTAGAAGTAATATAAAAGAGCAAGCTTATTTTTAAGTAATTAGTTCCATTTGCTTTGTGTATGCAGGATCTTTTGGAAGCAGTGGTGCCTTTTGACATCTTATTGGATAGGAGAAAACAGACTAACTTTCTTAATAATCTTCGAAAAAGTTCAGAGGATAAACCAAAACCGAAGGTTGTGCGGGATGCAGGAATTGCTTTGGCATCTCTTGTAGTTTGTGAGGAGGCACTTGAGAGGGAGTTGTTTATATCAATTTCGTATGTTTTTCTCTTCTTGTAATCAGTTACTACTGTGTGTTTCTAATAAAAACATTTGGGTTTTATTTGTTCTGTGTGTAAGAGCAACTATTGTCAATTTGGTCATATCTTGTGGGTGCTTTCTTATACTCTCCTCTTCTGCTTTGCAGTTATGTTCCAGGGATGGAGGTTACTTTATCTAGCCGATTAAAAAGTTTGTATAGTATCTACAGCAAGGTATTGATAACAATCAATGTATCTTTATCAACTTTTGGATGCTTTGCTTCTTAACTGTAAATAGAATAAGTCTCTGTGTTGTTAGAGCCTAATGCAGTCAACGCCTTTCTTTACTGCAGTTCCAAAGTCGTTTTGGTCTCCAATTCCATACATAATTATCAATATTCTTGAAGTTGTACAGCTGTGATAATTTGTAGATGTGGGTGGCAGCTACAGGTTTTATTGATGTCATAGTAGAGTTAATTTCACTAAAAGGTTTGAAGAGACATCTGAGAATACACCATCAACTAAAATTAGGTGCTATTTAACAGATATCAACATGTAGCGTTTCACTTGGCCTTTGAAAAGAAAGTATTGGCAGTCAAGCTAGAATTAATGTGATTCTAAAATTTTCGAGTCGGAAATGAGCTAGCAGTCTGACACTAACTTTGGTTTGGAAGCATTTCAATCTTCTGTAGATTAGTGAAGTTCATGCTTTTCTTGCTGTAGATGAAAAGAAAAGATGTTGGCATCAATAAGATATATGATGCACGAGCATTGAGGGTTGTTGTCGGAGACAAGAATGGAACCCTACACGGACCTGCAGTTCAATGTTGCTACAGTCTTCTCAACATTGTACACAGGTATTTCAAAGTATTTCTTCTGTTTTATTTAATAGAATGTCTTTTCAATTAATAACGGTTTGTTTGGAATTACGTTTAGTTATCTGGGTTGTATGATCTTTTTTAAGAAAAAAGCATGTATAGCACAGGAAACAAAATAGGATTTGCTTTCTTTCCTTAATGTTTTATGTATGTGGATGATTTCATAGGCCCTATGCCTATGTTAGCTATAAGTAATAGGGACATGTAATTTCTATGTTTTGCCAAAATCCATAACCTGCACTTCTCAACTGTGAAGTTTTTTTTTTTTTTTCAGATAAGATTTTACTAATTCACGTCTTCCTTCTTTCTCTGCAGGCTTTGGACTCCCATTGATGGTGAATTTGATGATTACATTGTTAATCCAAAGCCCAGTGGCTATCAGGTAACATTTTGCAATTTATTGATCTTTGCAAAATGAATATCTCAACAGTAGTCCTTATGTAGACATTAGGTCATACATGCATATGACATCCAGCATACATGTTGCACAAATAATATATGTATTAAATTTCTTGCTTTGTATCTTCCCCTCTAGTGACAACTAACCCAATTTTATTGACTAAATCTCTTAAAATGCAGCTGGTCGACTAACATAAATTTGGTACCACTAATCCAATGCAAAAGTTTAACACAGATTCATAGACTGTACCATGCTGTAGTTTTTTCTGAATTTTAAGTCATGTATGAGCGTGCATTATGATCCATGAAGGCTAGATTGGGCAGACACTGACTTCCATAAGGGTAAGCGCTGGGGTTGGGTAGTTGAATATGAAATGTCCTTGAGCTTGATTATTGGTCCAATATATATGTAAAAGTACTTCCTAAGCCCAGAACCATTAAAGACAGGTAATCTAATATTCAACATCGATGTGCTATGTAAGTTGGAGAAATATTGCACAAGTATCTGAGAAGGATGTTAAGATAATTACATTGATTTTCAAGACATCCTTTTAATTTTATTTTTTTTCGAAAATTCCTTTTAAATCAAATTAAAACAGTATAAAAGTGACAATACTGCACATGATTTTACATGTAAAGACCACAAAGTTAGATAGCTAAACAAATTAATTTGTATTCTCATTTTCTGGTTAAGAACTTTTCAGTTGATTTATCATACATGTTAGCTGAGAATGACTATTAAGTTCCTCAATTTATGCTTCATCATACTGACTAGCTAACCTTTTTAAATCAATAATCATACACTAAAGCAAAGTTACAAATACAGCTTGCTGAATATCTGTAATGAATAACTACAACCAAGCGATTTCCAAATGATCAAAGCATGAAGCAACATATATTTCCTGCTTATGTTTCGGGTCACATTTCAGACATGAACTTTCCTTTGCCTTGCAGTCTCTGCACACTGCAGTACAAGGCCCTGATGCCTCACCTTTGGAAGTTCAGATTAGAACACAGGTCCCAAGCTTCTTCCATGTTTATTTGATGTCACAATTGACTTAGGGTGAGACTAATTTAGCTATAGTGCTGGTAATAATTTTCTCAGAGAATGCATGAATATGCTGAGCATGGACTTGCTGCCCACTGGCTTTATAAAGAAAATGGAAATGAATTACCCTCATTGAGCAGCTTGGATGAATCTGAAATAGAAGAATCATCCTATCTCCCCAAAGATCTGGATGATCAAAATTCCATGGACGATGATTCGTTTCTGAAGTATAGATCCCTGAAAGTGGGACATCCAGTCCTTCGAGTAGAAGGAAGTAACCTACTTGCTGCAGTTATAATCAAGTATGTTGTAACTCTATGCCTAATTTCATACTCTACCTGATAATGTTCATATTCACAACTGCTAAAAAAAATGCCTTTTCAGACTAGATAAGGAGGGGACAGAGTTGCTCGTTGCTGTGAGCTTTGGATTGGCAGCTTCTGAAGCAGTAGCTGACAGAAGGTCTTCCTTCCAAATAAAGAGATGGGAAGCTTATGCAAGGTTATTCAAAAAGGTGCTTTTTTTCTGCTTCATATCTTGCTAATTGAGTCGAGTACGTCCAATGGATAGTGCTATAAGCACTACCTATAGTTACTCCCTAATCACCAGCGATATGTCACTGGATGGGCCCCATGTATCTCTGTGTGGGTTCGAAAGATGGATGGCTGGAGATTAAGGACAAGTAAAAGGAAGTAACTTTTTGGAGTTCTTAAAGAATTATTCAATGTTACTTTTATACCTAGAAGGTAAGGATTACTTGTGTTGAATCTAATTTTTCCATTTGCTGCCTTTGTTTAATAGAAAAACTTAAAAGGTAGTTGCTATTTGCAAAATGATGTGGGATTGAATGATGAAGCTACATTTCAGACTAAATACAAATCATCGCACTTTAGGACTCTAAATCTTCAACATGCCTGGAGCTTTAATAGGCTTCCATGTTGTGAAAGTATTACAATAATAACTGAGGTGAATTTGTTCTGTTAGCTTTAAAACTACTAACTTGCTTTGCTGATATCAACTCGGCTTTCCAGGTTTCAGATGAGTGGTGGTGTGAACCAGGACATGGGGATTGGTGTACTTGTTTGGAGAAATATACACTTTGTCGAGATGGTATATATCACAAGGTATATTTAGCATGAACTTATTGTGGAATTTAAATGTATCCAACTTTTCGGTGATACTTAGGGTGTGTTTAGATGAGGTATTTGAAAAATTCTTAGACGTTGGAATGAGGATAATTAGAAATGGAGCAATTTAGAATCCAAGAATGTAGAAATTCTGTTCATTGGGTAACCGTTTAAGAAATTGAAGTACTAGCATCTATTGCTCCAGAAAACAAGTCATCTTTTATTATTTGATTTCATTCTCTTATCTTCTTCTCACCCAATTCTGCTTTGCTGCCAAATTTGGACGTGTAAAAGATCAATGCACTTCCATATCTTATGAGTATCTCGGTCTTGTAAAAAAATAAGCGTATTTAGTAAGCTATTCAAAACTTCTGCACATCAGTGACCTTTTGCTACTTCCAGCATTTCCGGTCTTAGCTGGTGAACCTTAAGTAATCATAATAGTTGGTAACTGTAAGAAAACTTCTTCATTTACCTCATTAAATTATTCCATGCAGCAAGACCAATTTGAACGCCTTTTGCCAACTTTCATCCAAGTGATCGATTTGACAGAGCAAGAAGAATCTGAATATTGGGCTGTTATGTCTGCTGTTTTTGAAGGCAAACCAGTTGAATCCGTTGCATCTAGGCCCGACCTAAAATATGTTGCTTCAAATTCATTTGAAGCTAGCATCAACCGCAAGGTCTGGTTGCAATTATCTTATCATATCTAATGTCATTGTTAAAGTAGGCTGCATTAGTTGGGCTTGTTAGAAGTATTTTATTTTACTTGATCTTGTTAGAAGTATTTCATTCTTCCTTAGATTCATATTTTCATTCAAACATTGCATGAGTCAAATTATTAAAATTTGTTGATTATTTAGATCGCTCCCTGTTTATTGATGGGAAAAAGTATTTAAATTAACTAAAAAACTTTCATAGAACTATAGGAAATATGAGGTGTCCATTTTGCTACTTGTATGAAGCATGAAAGATTTGGTCATCTGAGTATAACTTTCCTAGCATGCAATATGCAGAAAGCTGCTTTTCCTTGTTTCTTAAATCTATGATACTTTGCTTTCAACAATTATTAAATTTATATTTAATCAATTCAATAAACCTGTTACTTTGATCAAATATTTATTTCTCTTTCCTGGTTAACCTTTTCCTTTACAGCATCAATAATATGGAATTGATTTTGTAGATTTGTACATGGTGTTGACGACAGTTCCTAGTTTTTTCTTTTAATTTAATTCATGAGCTATAGGACCAAGAACACTGTATTTTTTGGGACTTGAACCTAAGACCATTCATCTAGCCAACCTGTATTCAACCATGCGTACATGTTTATTCATTTACTACTTCCATGTTTCCAAGGTCCTCTCTTGATTTGTATTTGCTCCTTTTTGATCCACAGAATACCTCATGTTCATTTGAATGTGCATTTCTGCTTTTCACACGAGTAGTGATTTTTTTTATTCTTTGAACAGCTCACCTCTATTTAGAATGAGATGTACTGACTGAGTTCTAACTATAAATTACGCAGGTGCGTTTGTTGAGGACAATGCTTCAGTGGGAAGAGCAACTACGTTTGGAATCAAGTTTTGGAAGACAAGAGGGTGGTGCAAAATGTAGTGTTAACCCTGATTCTGTTGTCCTTGGGGAGGTTGTCATTATATGTTGGCCCCATGGTGACATAATGCGATTGAGAACTGGCAGCACTGCTGCAGATGCTGCAAGAAGAGCAGGACTAGAGGGAAAGCTAGTTCTAGTTAACGGTCAACTGGTATTGCCTAGCACAGAGCTCAAAGATGGTGACGTTGTAGAAGTAAGATTGTAAATATCAGAACATAACTGATTTGTATATATCATAGGGTAAAATAGAAATCATTGCAATTCAATTTGTCAAATCTGAATGATCATGCGGGTGAGTGGGGTTGACGTATGCAGGGCATGATGGTCTGTAATTGGATTCCATAGACATTCAATGTAAATACTGAAAATTGTTGAGCATGAATGAATGGGAAATTTTCTCTCCTTCTGTCCTCTTCTGTTAACAGTTTGGTGACATTCATGACATACACTTCTTTCACTGTCTACCCCTCTTCCCCCTCGTTGGTTTGAAAGTAGCCTTGCAAGGAAAACAGAGACAGCCAGAGCTTTTCAACTTTGCCTTCTAAAAACCTAAACTCCATTGCTCTGTATGATGTCTTCATCATTCAAAGCACATTATTTTTGTTGTATTTTATAATTAAAGAAGCCAGATAGGTTTTTTTTCTCTCTCTCTTTTCGATTTGCTCTTCTCTGTAATGGAATTAAAAGTGGATCTGGATCAAATAGACTGCAATGAACTTGAATGAAAAACCATGAGATGAGTCATCATGAGAGGATGAGGAAAATTCAGTACATGTTGCTTGAAATTTTCGTAACAGCTGAACAGATGACAGATGATTCCAATGAACACAGACTGGCGTTATTACCTTCTTGGATTTAGATTAGAATTTTGAAAGCCTATAGCTTTCTGTGGTGAAGAACGATATATGAGAAAACTCAAGTCTATAGATTTTGTACCGCATTGTAAAAAGTAATGCTAACAGGATTGAAGAAGTGAAGCAGAAAATCAAATCTTGACCGACCATAAGAAGAATGTTTCAATAACAAAGAGTTTGAAGCATAACCTACACACCACAAGTTCTTTGTCTGAAACTAGACAGCAGAACTGTACAAAACAGCGTGTTCGCATTGCAGTTTCGGATAGATGTCGCGGATGAGCCAAGCTGCCATTAATTCGTAGGCCCTTTGCGTCAAATGAACTCCATCCCAACTCAGTCGTTCATCAGGGTTTATACAGGCTGTTACTTCAGGATATTTTGCACACCATCTTGAAGGGTCAAAGTTGTATTTGCCTCCAATCCCACAACAAGCTTTTTGTACTGACGTCGGATCAAAACCTGATGAAATTCCACAAACTCCAAACATGACTAGAACAATTCATGGTACAATCTCAAACTTATGAATTCAAAAGAAATTAGACTTACCAAGCAGATTAGCCTTGCTCAAAAGCCACTGGAACGCATTGTAATAGTTACCATAGACAATGATAACATTGGGATGTTCTTGTTTTAGCTCCTCGATGGCTTGTTGGAGAAGATCGTTATGATAAATTGAAAAATTATTCAAATACTTTAGGCAATGAAGGTCATCATAAGCAGTAGTATCATTTGTTTGAAATTTAGTGAGATATACAGGAAAGCAGCCAATGGGGAAGTTTCCAGGGACAACTAGCCGAGTAGCACCATATCCTATAACTCTCTGCACAGTGAGAATTGAAACAATGAGAAACCAAGGTTACAATGAGAGAAGTGATAAGAGTCAAATGTTTCTTAAAAGGAAGCTTACTTTGACAGCGTATTTTATGGCTTGAACTACCTCGGGCACCATGGCCATAACCTCCTCTAAGGATAAATTTCCAATCTGAAAGGCATAGTTATAGTCATTTCCTCCTATCTCCCCAACCATGAAAAGAGCTCTTCCATTTTTCTTGAAACAATCTATCAAACATAACACACATAAATCATTTTTTAGTTTATAAACCACTACTCAAGTGGGTGTCAATTCCATTTTTGATCAAAATAGATATAATTGCTTGAATGTTGTTGTAAGGGGAGATGCTAACCTTTGTCATAGCGACAAGTTCTATCGAAATAGCTAAACATCCAGTCAAGTTGATTACTCAGAGATTTGTTGGTGGGCACATAGGAACTATTTCTCTTTGATAGAACTTCCACAGACAAGGCAGTAGCTCCGGCAAACGCGAAGTTAACTCCATGATCAAATAACCCATCTTTGTTTAAGTAGGCGTCAAGAAAAGGAATTTCAGCAGATAGTGCTGTTCGAATGTACAAAACATATGTCAGCTTATATGGAAACAATAACACACAGGTAAAATATAACTAAATCCACAAAAATAATGGGATATAATCATTCATCTCCATATTAATAATCAAGCAAATTTTGAATTTCACAGCCCATAATAATGAATTCTATTGTTATATGGCTCACTGGCAATGCCAGATAATCAATCATAGAGCACAAGAAAAAAGAACAATAAGCATAGCGAAAACATCTTTTTACCCAGATAATCAATCATTAACAAGCCATTGGAGCATCTACCAGTTGCCTTCTTGAAGAAGGTTTCGCCATAGGGTAGCCTGGCACATACAGATGAAGGGTCCTCTTGAATATAATTACCGGTATCTGCAATCGAATCCCCAAGCTGATATATGGCATCAAACTTGCAAGTGCTAAGAATATATGCATAATTGCATGGAATTACATCCAAGACAAGAGCTAGAGCGAAAAGATATCTTGGTGGTAGCCATTTCTTGAGAGAAAGATCCCTAGAAGCCATATATGCAGAAAATTACAGGTTATTTAGCAAATATTTAGGGAAAAACTTTGTGCCAAAATTTGGTTAATTCTTATCATTAGTACTAAATAACAACCGGCCAGATAAATGGACCAAAGCAACAGCCAACAAGTAGAGGCAATCCGGTAAAGAAATATTTTGCAATAAAAATTAAAATAAAATGTTCAATACATCCAAATGGGACATCTATGTATTTATTACTTTTTAATAGCGGATGGCAAAAGTTTCGTTTGCCAAAAACGACGAAGTTTCAGTAATTAACTTATAAGAGATTAGTTTCAATCAGTCATCATCTGTAACCTACTCAGCAGATGAATAAGTCATCATCTGTAACCTAGTAAGAAAAAGTCATTGTCTATGACCTAAAACAATGGAAAATCGAGTCACTATCAGCCCTAAAGAACTGAATTTAAAACGCAGGCCTTTCTCCAATTCAATCAACAAGAGATTCACCGAATCTATAGTCGTCATAAAGAATTATATATATATGTAAAAATTAATAGTATTTAATTTTATTTGATAATTCTTATTTTATCTGAAATTATTATTAATTTGGAACTAAATTAATTAATGTCTGGAGTTCGTTAAAGGACTCTTTATCAACGTCGTCGATCTAGCTAGCAAGGCTCCTTGATTCATGATCATTGGCTGACAATTTTAAATGTGAAGGAGAAGAAGCCACGGTATAAGAAATAGCAACACAGAGTAGCCATTGCCTTATTGCTCTTATATATAGCATAGGTCCAGGACCAGGCTACATTTTCAGGATTTACCGCCAGTGCCACCATGGGTGATTAAGCTGATTACTATTGTTTTATTGAAAGATACATTTGCTCCAGAAATGGCAAATGCAGATTCTTTTATTTAGTTGAAAAGCTTTTTCCGAAGTTTGTTGTTCTTATTATTATTTTCCAAACCACTTGAAATTTCTGGAAAACAAACTTCGTTCATCAGCCATCAACTTTCATGTCTGTTTCTTCATCCCAAGGGAAGGGCTCCAATGGCGTTATTGCATCAAGGAGATCATCAATCGGAATCTTTGGCTTCGAACGTTGCAGTGGAACTAATTCCTGACCATACATTTTCGGGTCTGAACAGTACTCCTGTAAAGGAAGAAATTATAATTTGAAAGGTTATATTTTTGGGGAAAAAGGAAAACCATAATTGATCAGGTGCTAGTGGATTTTAATTCTTATCCATAAGAATTATGTAAAACGATTCTATACTTACTTGGTCAGCATGCATTTTCTTCACAAATTTCTTGAATAGCTCGAAATTCTCTTCTTCAAACAAATCATCGGATGAACGGAGATATGTCACCGTATGCATCTTTGGCCGTCCCTCTTCAGTCACACCATTGGGTCTGGCATTTAGCAGCATTTGATTGTAAGCATCGCTGTCGTACCTTGATAAGGCATTCTCACCTGCAACTTCAATGTCCTCTCTCCATCCTCCACTCAAAACCTGCCAACCACACATTATTATGCAAATGGATCAATTACTCTTCCATTCTGACATAATACTGTTTGTGAAAATATTTGCTTGCAATTGCATTTTACCATTTTTTTTTGGTGAAATTGTACGTTTGATTTGAGTAGATTTGACATTCCATGGCTTATAGCCAAGAAGATATATGTATATATAATTGGACAAGCATAATGGAGTGCTTCCATGTTTATTGAGGGTGTCATTGTACATCGGTGCAGACCAAGATCAAACTTATCCACCTATAGCTTATCAAGAAATGTGACCACCTTATTACATCCATGAAATTAATATATTATAAATGTCTACATAATAGACTTATCCCCATTATAAGAGTTTAATATTTTTCCCCATAAAACTGTATAGTAATTATGATATTCATTTAACGTAATGATTTATATATCTTTCATAAATACCTCCATTCATATATGAATTTTTTTTAGTACAAGCTTAAGTATTCAGACTTTTTTTTTTTGAATTATCAAAAAATTTCATTAAAGGAAGAGAGGATACAACTCTAGCCTTAAAAAAATAATGAATCATGGCTGTAATGAAGGATATTTTCATTAACAGGATATTCTCTCTCCAACACCATGGGCAATAATGAAGAGTATTCAGTCTCATAATTGTGATCTCTATCCAACGCCACCTAAACCTACCAATAAAGCCGTACACGTGGCATTTTTTGGGTGAGGGGAAGAGGATATTCTCTCTTGTTCTGATGATCAATAATATCCGACAATTTTTTGAGTCAGAGGAACATGCTACTTGTTACTGATTTTCAGATAGCACAATTTCCGACTATGTTCCATCTTTCTGTTGCACCGACAATATTTTTGGATTTTGTAGCAATTAATGCAGATATATATAATCAGAATTTTTGTCCTTTTTTTCTTTTTGATAGTTGATGTGAGATCTTATAGCTTAATTATTTACCTGTTGAACAAGTTCCTGAGGTGCACTTTTGGCATCTGCATCTTGCTCTGAGTCCCTCATCTCGAGACATGTGAAATTCAGAATAGCACGATCGTGCCTTGAAAGCATCCTCGCAATGGGCCGATACCCATCTCTATCAGTCAGATTGTAATATCCAGCAGTCAGCTCTGCGGCATGGTTATCAGATTTGTACCACCAGTGAATTCCAGAAACCTTGCATGACATTGAAACAGTCATTATTAAACTATCAGTACTACATTAAGTAGCGGAGAACTTTCTAGTTTGTGAGACATACTTTTGCTGCTAACTTCAGCTTACAGCCTAAGAAAGCTTTGTTAGCTTCATCAAGGATATCATCCCCATGAATTAGTAACATGTTGGAATACCATGTCAAGAAAAACTTCCCTTTCACAGAAAGGTATGTCCCATTTGGTCCAAAAAACTCTGTTGATTCAGGTGTGTCATTGTATTCCCCTGCATTATCTGGCAATTCCCATTCAGGATGGCCTGCTTTTGTGGCTGCCTCTTTGAAAGCTGCTTTGAGGTACTTGTCGTAGCACTGCAATAATTTTTATGGAATGTGTTACTGAACGGAAATCAGAGGTTATAGCCAGGATCTTATATATGTATGAAGGGATCATAGAATTAATGGAAAAGTGTTGGAGCACTGCCACCTGAAATTCTCCGATGCCTGGGAAAACCCATCCTTGGCTTTGTGGATAAGAGGGGTATCTAAGCTCCCCTGCAGCACCAAGCCCTACTTCAATATCTATAATCACTCCAGCTTCAATAAGATCTTGCATTGCCTCCCTGAAGCTCTTCATGTAGTCGCTATAAATCTAAATTAAATCAACAATCTTTCTTAATTAGTAGGAAAAGTAAAAGAAACATAATCATGGAATAGTGGAACTCCAAGTCAGTAGTACAAAATTTTAAATTTTTTATTTTTATCTCAATCACTCCAGCTTCAATAAGATCTTGCATTGCCTCCCTGAAGCTCTTCATGTAGTCGCTATAAATCTAAATTAAATCAACAATCTTTCTTAATTAGTAGGAAAAGTAAAAGAAACTATAATCATGGAATAGTGGAACTCCAAGTCAGTAGTACAAAATTTTAAATTTTTTATTTTTATCTCAAAAACATTAAATCAGTGACTCATAGCTTAAAAACAAAGATAGTAAAATTTTAAGTTTTACAATAAATAATAAATTAAAACTAAACTCGAAATGGTTAAATTGTCGAGTTTATCTTTATAAAAAAGATAAGTCACTAAATTGAAGTGAAGACTGAAACCCATCTGTATGAATATATTTTATTTTTTATGTGAATTTTTTATATATTATTTATCAATAATAATGATAATAAAACTAGACAATGGTGATTACCTATAGCCGTTGGATTATGGTTCGAATCAAAATAACATATTAGGGTACAAATATATATATATATATATAAGATTTTTCAAATACGTTAAACTCATTGAACTTGTAACTGATATTTGGTAAAAGTTTGCAAAGTACTGTGGAGGTTAAATTAATTATGAGGAATGTCTTGTACATTTCAGGCAAGCAAGAGAATCAAAATTATTGAATATCAAAGACAACAGTACCTACCCAGCCATCATCTTACCTGCAACCATGTGAGATTGAATAATAATGACTTAATCTAGATAAGAAAACGACCTTCTTTTAATTATTTGACTTAGCTAGTCACCTTTGTCCATTTTAGTTTGGCACTATAGTCTAGAGTTGCATGTGCATGTTGCTTTCGAGAATAATTGTCCTGGAGTTTGGTCTAGGTTTTTTTAACGTGTCTGGATATTATAATTATGTGATTCAAATAAATTTTTGCAATTGACATTTCATTTCTATTCAACTTAAATCCGTCTTATTCCTTCTGTCCCTTTCGGGAATGCACCAGTAATATATATGAGTGACATTAAATCACACTCAGACATGAATCATAGGAAAAAGGGACACCGGCAAAAGCATGCAATATGTAGCACATGAAACTAACCTGGATAGCAGTTCTTCCATTGAAAATAGCCTGGTGATCCACTCCAAGGGTGAGGTACTCCTTGTTTCGGTTACCAGCCCTGTTGGTGTAGAAGATATCAGGGTCTGTTTCTCCAATGTCAAGAACCCACTGCGGAATCGGGATATAGACTTCATCTCCCACATTGCCACCACATTGATGGAATGACATTATCGCTTGCAGTTTCAATCCACATTCTTTAACTAGTTCGACCAAGCTCCTGTAAGCACTCCAATCATACTGCTGGGGACCCTGGGATTCTACAATTCCCCACCAAACATCTGACATCACCCCATCAATACCTGCCTCTTTCAGCCTCAAGAGCTGCTTTTTCAGGCCTTCCTTGCCTAAAAGAACATTGTCATTTGAAACGATTCCCAACTGATACAGTGCAAAAAAGCAATAAAGACTAGTTAGTATAGGATCATAAGCAGTAATATTATGCTATTTATGTTGCTTACACTAAGACAGAAGATTTTCTGAGACTTACCGGGAGCATTACATAGATTGGCACATAGTTTGCTAACATTTTTTTCTTGTCTGTAACAGCAGATTGAGCCTCCATGGTTTTTTAAGCAAAGGGAATCCCTGAGTTATAGTAAAATGGAGATTGCACTGATTACCATTGAAACCACCCCTCTTTTATAGGCAAAAAGAAGCAAGAAAAATCAATAATGCATTAACTATTGCCCGGGTCCAGCCTTCTGCAGATCTTATCTGTGCGTAAAATAAAGCAAAATCTCATCAGGATTCCTGAGGGACCGGTGTCGTCGTTTTCTAAAATCAAAAGATGTGTACCTTTTGCTAGAAGTTGAACGGTGTCAGTGTCACATTCCAACGGTGAATTTGGCCGCAGATTCATGAATCATGCCCCTTCACGTTTTGCAAAAGTTGGAGTAAAATCATATCGCTTCATAATTCTTTAATTCAAAATGATCATAATTCATAAAGTCGACAACATCATTGAGAGTGTTCCAGGCTAGCCAACTCACACTGCATACGGAGCTTTCTTTCCGACAGCTGTTGAAACACTTTGGATTCCAAAGCTTCCACGTATAATTATTTTATTTATCATAAAAAGAGATGGCTCGGTTGTAAATAGATTCACCACAACAACAACGAAAACAATATCTGCTGTTAGTAAGTGAGGGTTACTATCTAATACGTTCAATCATGTTGACGGGTTATTATCTAATACGTTCAATCATGTTGATATTTGCATGCTCCTAGTTCATATCTCGCAACACAGGCACTTGCATTACTATTAACAACCTACACTACTTGCCTGACTAGCAGAAAGCAGCAGCAACGGTGGACAAAGGTTTAAAAGAATCCCTTGAACACCCCGCCCCCCCAAAGTCCTACAAATATGGTTCTAATTATTAGAAGAAGAATAAATATCCTACGATTACCATCATTGCTTAGACCAAACAAAACAAGGCATGTAAAGAGTTCACAAGTGAATTCATAGTATTTTTATTTGACGTCTTCTTTATAGATAAAAAAATGTTAATATTGAAATGAGAAATCTATTCTATATATAAAAATATAAATTTTAAAAGCACAAATAGTAAACGACGTATATATTTTTCATAATTTATTAAATTAATTATTTTTTTTAAATTGATGAATTTTTTATTTAATTAAAACATTGACTAATAAGTGATTCTAGCAATGGACAATAAAAGTGTAGTACAAGCTATGCAAATGGAGAATAATGAATCAAAAAGTCAATTCTGATTTGATCTAAATTATTAAAAATCTTTTGAAAAATAAATGACAAGTAAAGATCACGTATATATATTGAAACCCTAATTGTTTAACAGATTTTCTTACAAATTTAGCCTTTCGATAGTCTATAAGCACGATGTTTCTCAAAGATCCTCCCATCTTCTATTCTATTAAGTGTGGAAGCTTCATTTTCACGTGCTATTTTATTTTAATTTGACTATTTTACTTTTTTTATTTAAAAAAATAAAAAAAAATAGTTTAACTAATTGGTTATGTTTCTTCCTTTATCTCAAATCTTTATCATCTACTAAACTCTTTATTGCTTTAGAGACACAAGAATTTATCAAAATTATTAAAGGATTCTACTAAATAATTCATTCGAACAAAAATTGCGATAATTGTTATAAAGATCTCATTAAAAAGAATGTTCCTATACAATTTTCCAGACCATTCATATGTTTCCATCAATCTAACATATTACAAGAAACATTTCTAACAAAATTTTCATCAAATAATTCGTATTCATCAATTTTAATACGATAAAGAATTGAATAAACAGTAATTGAGAGAGTCCGAAACATACAAATGAGCAAAAAAAAAAACAAATTAATAAATCTGTGAAAGAAAATGAAATCATGAATTAAGCATGGAAAACTAGAGTCAAGTGGTACTCGAACATTGGCAGGGACTTAATTAAATCTTAAATCTCAATCTTAGACAAGTTAATAACTATATGTTAGCCTAAATCTATGCCGTTGGGCAAGTGATCATTTTTTGAATTATTAGAGTTGTCGAAATAATTACCATTTTTAAAAAATGGGTTAAAGGATCCAAATAACTACCATTTTTATCGGGATTTTTTTTTCTATATAGATGTTTTCTTATTTATTTCTTCATGTATAACCTAGTATTTATTAAAGTTTTTCCGTTATTTTCTCTTTCACTAGATTTTTTTAACCTTAATGTCTTATTGTAAACACCTAATTAATTGTTTTGATGAACAGATTATATACTATGATTTTGCTGACTTTTGCTGTTTCTATAATATGAATTGGATATATTTTGGAAAAATTATTATCCTCAAAATAAAATGAGAGGCAAAAAAAATTAATAACTATGATCAACAAACATTAACCAAACAAGGAGTACTATTTTTTTTTTCTTTCCTTACATAAAGTTTTAGACTACACAATAAGTGATAATCATCTCCCATCCTTTATGGTATAATGATTTTTAGTTTCCTTTTTGTGCCCTTTTTATTGGTACTTTATATCAATTTAAACAGATTGTCTCACTAGTATATTATTATTCTTACTATTAATTTATATATTATTATTGTTTACCATTCAAAAATACAATTGTTAGATTATGCCAATTAATTTTAATTCGTAAAATCATTTGATCCATATCAAAACAAAAAAAAAAAGAATCATATGATTTTTTGGAATTTGATTATAATTATATTATTATTAATTATTGGGAATTAAATGCTGCAATCACTAGAGATGATAACTATCCCTAATGTGTAACCCATTATTAAATTAAAATTACCAAAAACAGAAAAAAAGAGCATTAAGCATATAATACAATACACTTTTGGAGGTCAAAGTCGTTTACATACAATATTAAATGTTCAAAAAAAAAAATGATCCCTGGGACTGTTGAACTTTACCTTTTATCTAAGTTATTACTTCCTCTTTCTCAATTCGTTTCTTTTTGTTTCATTTTTTTTTGTTTAACTAACACAATTTTAACTATTTTATATGTGGATTTAAATTTTTAAAAAATATTTAATTTTAGTATTTTATATTAAAATTTAGAAAACTTTTTGTAATATTGATGCTGAGTCGATTTTAATACCAAAAAGCAAGAAAACAATAATATTATTTAATCAAAAAATGAAAATGATAAAAAAAAAAAAGCAAGGAGATATTGCTGTAAAATTTTACGAAAGACTTGTATTATTGGACTCTTGTACAAATATCAGTCTATTTAATGTAAAATTTAGAATTACAGATGAAGTGCTCTCGGAAACCCAAAATGTAAATATATAGAGGCACTAAATCTGTCCTACTTTTTTGCAATTTTTTTGTTGTAAATTTATGTGTATATTGTAGTAATTATTTTCATATAATGAGCTTTTTACCTTGTTCAAGCACCTCTTCCCTTCCCCTTTAGCTAATGCTATTTGGCTTAGGTGTAGCTAGTGATTTGGTACAAAGAATTACAAAGAAATCATGGGTGATACAACATCAGAATATGTGGTTATTCAATTAGTTTACTGTTAAAATTCTAGGCATCTTTAAGACAGTGTGATTGCTGACTCCCATTTCTGTAGTTGAAAGGTCTTCACTTCATCTAGCTGAGGTTTACTCTGTAATTTGTCATTAGGCTTCACACTGATTGAGGTATTTATTGAACCATTAATATGTTCATTCCTTTTTTATTCTGGTAGTTTTTTTGTTTTTTTTTTAAATTAAGCAATTCATTCATTAACTAAGAATAAACAATTCCCTGTGAGAAAACAAGATCAGCTCTAGATTTTAAGTTGCTATCTTAATCCATATCAACTTGAAGTCTAGGCTTTGCAAAAAGAACACAAAACAAAAGTATCCCAACTATTCCCTATACAAAAAACCCTTTCCGCAAAAAAAAAGGGGGGGTTCATGACAAATCCTATGCATCAGTTCAACCTACAATCAAAGATCGTGTCGCATCAATACCAAATCTGATTCAATCAATATCAAAAGTGCACACTTCAACTCATTTCAGCTGCAGCCATGAAGCTTACGCTTCAGCACAAAAATTAGCCAAATCAAATATCCAATTCCAGTGAATCCCAAACCAAACCATAAACATACTTGTAGTGGAGAACCAGCACCTTGCAAAACTCACTAGGTCTCCAACGCTCAAGTAAATCCTGTTGGAATTCCTTGAATGATGGCAACAGCAAACACTCATTCAAAAGAGGCTTTGGAATAACCTCAACAAAAAAGCTTGAAGAGATTTTATCAGTATGAAATCCGACTTTTTGGATTTCGAATTAATCCTTTGTCATTTTACTAACAAATTAAAAAAAAAATTTGACTTCTCAACTTGCAATTGGCATCACATACTTGACTTTCTGGATTAACCACTTCCAGTTCCCTATGATTAACAGCTGCTTGAAACAGCTCATCTTTTGACAGAAGTGTCTGAAAGTATAGACTGCTATGTTCAAGGAAGATCATTTGCTGCAGGAAATTTGTTTGGAAGGTGGGACCAGTTACATGGTCTGTGTTTACATGGAGGTGCTTTCCACGAGGTTGGAGATAATTTTCATTCTCCAAGTAACATTACTACTGTTGTTAGCTCATAAGATAACATTTTTGGAATCACTTTCGTTAACAAGAGGGCATGATCGAACGTATCTCTTTTACAACGCCTAAATGATCTTGTAGGACACCACCTACAACTGCCGAGCTTGGCTTCCTTGTGGCCAACCCATCGATACATTAAGCTTCATAACTCCTTGAGGTGAGCTTGGATCCTCCAACGGTCGGTGATGAGGGGTGGTTTCCAAGACGTGCGTGAGCCATTGGTAAATTTGTAGGTCGTGTCCAAGTGTTGGGCTTGGGAGGAATGTGGATTAAATTTGTTGCTTTATTTAGTTTGTTACTGATTTCCTATTGAAAATAACATTTATGACATTTATGTTGAGTAATGCTTTGTTGTATTAATGAAATTTCTACTTGTATATAGAATCTCAAAAAAAAAAAAAGAGTTTGTATTTGTAATTTTGTTAAATGTTAATGTATTTATTTATATAATTATGCAGAATATTTATTCAATATAATATTTTAAAATATTTTTATTAACCCAATATTAATGTGAATGACTCCATTGACCCGAGATGGAGCCTTGAATGGATTATTGTCCGACCCGATTATGATAACTATGCTATCAAATGGGTGGGTATGAATTTTTTTTCCATTTTTATCTTTTTTTTTTCTTATGAAAGTTAAAAGACAAAAAAAAACTAAAGAAGGAAGAAAGAAAATTAAAGTCCAAAGGGGTCCATAAACCCGAGCCATGCTTTGGCACCTAAAAGTCTCACGCTGAGGCTTTGGCTCAGCTTGTCTATTTAAACCCTCTTAAGTTATTTTTATTATTAAAATGTTAAAAAAATATATATTCTTATAATAATATTTTAAAACTAAAATTAAATGAAAATATAATGTTTATTAATATTATATTAATCTTGAGCCAGGCCAGACCTGAGTCTAAAATTCAAATATTTTTTTGCATGAAAAAAATTTGTATAAGTTACTCCTTAATCTTAAGGTAATGATTACCCATTAGATATATACCCATGAGCACGTATTTATTATGATATTTTTTGTTAATCAAGCATTCATTGACTACCTTTTTTAAAAAAGGAAAAAAAGAAGCTCCTACCATTCATGACCTTCTCTAAAATATTGAATAAAATTATAGATGGGTGTGCCAAGCCAACTTGAGTTAATTAATGGGTGCAATTTGGAGAATAAATATTAAAAGTGTAATAGATGTGAATGGATTAGAACTTTAAAATTCAACTATTTCAAAGAGGAATAATAACCAAAACTTAAGTCTGGTTTGTGACATGATTTTCTTAGTTATTAGCAATGGATACACAACTCTTCATAAATAGAGTAAAGAGTAGGAAGAATAAACAAGACTAATTAGTTCTCATGCAATCTAGGAGTAATGTGCACCTGCGGTGAATTTTGCATTACACTAGTAAATTCATGTTTTTCAGTCAAGTCCACATCATGTCCTTTCAAATTAGACCACTTGAAATGCCAGACCAAGTTTGCCACAAAGTACTCAAGGTGAAGAATTGCCAAATTATATGCTGGGCACATCCTCCTCCCTACACCAAATGGCATCATCTTGATCTCTTTTCTTCCAGTAAAATCAAAAGCTTCTCCATCATCACCATTTAAGAATCTCTCAGGCTTGAATTCCATTGGATTTTCCCATTCCTTTGGATCCCTTCCTATTTCTCCCACCGTAAGAGTTACAACACTATCCCTCGGCACCAAAAAACCACGCAACAAGACATCTTTTGTCACAGCATACGGGACTAGAAAAAGGGTCGGGGGATAACGCCTTAAGCCTTCCAAAATCACAGCTCTAAGATATGGCATATTTCGCAGATCATCTTCTTTTATCTCTACTTCTCCATCTCCTATAACCCCTTTAATCTCCTTGAACAACTTGTCTTGGGTATGTTGGTACTTCACTAAATTTGCCATGATCCATTGCAAAGATGTGGCCTTATTATCGGTACCACCAGTAAAGAACTCAGAGCACAATGTCACAATTTCCATTTCTTCAGGCTTTCTCTTCTGCTCTGGAAAGTTTAAACCAAACAATGTATCAACGTACCGAAGGAAAGACTCCTGGCAAATATTTTTGTCTTTTAATGCCCTTCTTGCTCTTATTAAAGGAACCACTGTTTCTTCCTGGTCTTTTCGAAACGTGAGGAGCTCCTTACAACTCTTATGAAAGAAAATTTTCCCAAACCTAGAAAGATATTTATCATTTTGGATCTGTTGAAACTTAGCAGCACACCAAGCTGTACGTAGGGGCGGCGGAGCTAACCAATTTTTATCGACAGGCAAAAGTTAAAAAAAATAAAGTTAAAAATTTTTAAAATTAATATATTGAACTTAATCATTAATAATCAAAATATTTATAATAGATAATAATTTTATATAATATGTAAATAAAAAAATAAAAAAAACTTATAATAGTACTTTAGAAAAAGTTTATTTGACGATGGTAATATCTTTTTTAATATGAATAATTAAATTATTTATAAGAAACTTATCATTTATTTTGTTTCAAAATCTTGTCTTTCTCAATATAATCAATTAAAAAATTAATTTAGTCAACATCAATATTTTTATTTTATTATATTTAAGTTTATAATAGTAAATATTAAACTATAATGCATTAAATACGATATACAAAATTAATAATTTTTTTAATATTCGAGATAATTTCTTTTCAATTAAATATAAAATATAAAGCACATTAAAAATATATACTTGAGATAATTTTTTCTTATATAATTAAGATTAATAAAAAATAATATATTAGTAAAATTTTAAATAACAACTAATAATGCAACATTAGAATTTATATTTGAGAATTACATATACAATCATTTTTTAATTTTTAAAAATTAAAATTATTAAAAATAAAATCCACATGATAGAAAAAAACCATGACAAATAGGAGATATAACCTTTATAATAAAAAAATATGATTAATGATTCGTATAAATTTAAAAATATATATATAGAAACTTAAAATATATGAGCAAATAGAATATAATTAAATAATAATAATAATATAAATAAATAAATTAAATAAAAACTTTACATTTTTATAATTTCATAATACAAAAACATAAAAGAAAAGAGGGAAAGATGGATGGAAAATTTTAAAATTTAAAAAAATTAAAAATTTTAATAAAATTGAATGAAATTTGTAAAATCATTTAAATATTTTTTAAATTATATTAATTATTTAATAAAAAATTATTTTAAAAAATTATTAAAAATATATAATATATAAAAAATTTCAAAAATTTTGACCCCACGTCACAAGGGGACGCTCCGCCCCTGGCTGTACGTCCCTAATGTCTTTGATTTGCTTTCGCTCAAGCTTTTGACCAAAGCACATGTAAACTAACAAACAAAAAATGGCATGTTGGATTGGTTCCATCACTTGAATACCATTATGGACGAAATCCGACTGGGACTTTAGGCCGTCGATTAAGATTTGGAGTGCCCATTTACGAGCACACGCATAGGATTTTATTTTCGAAGAATGGAGAATATTAGAAACAAGATTACGGCGGAAGAGGCGCCATGTAGGGCCATGAAATGCCGAGGTGATATTATGCTGATCGCAGCTAAATAATTTTTCACTGGCAAGTGCTGGAGGGCGGTCAGAAAAGACCGCACCCTGAACAATCAAGGCTTGATGGGTGAGGGAGTGGCTGCCAATAATGATGATTGGTTTGGAACCTGCTCGGAGAGTGTAAATTGGACCATATTTTGAATGCAGGGTGGGAGCCAGGGCCATGATTTGGGGAAAAGGCTTATGTAGCCAAAACAGGTTGCCAACGAATGGAATTGCGAGGGCCCTGGAGGATGTTGGCGAGTTGTTTTCTTGGCAAGATGGCTTAAGAAGGACGGAGATGATGAGGGTGATCATGAGACTGATGATGACGAAATAGGTTCCCATTTCTGAAAAGTGAAAATAAAACACCATCATGCCATTATTACACAGTAGGAGTGCCATGTCAAGTACTCCAAGTAGAATGCATCGTATGCTAAAATTTTATATTTATATATAGACATCATTATACCTTAATGTATAATAAAAATATCAAATACATACACCTTAAAGTATTTTATTTCTATAAACACTATTATGCCATTATTAAACAATGAAAATGTTATGTCATGTATTTTAAATATCTAATTTGCACCATTATACCTTCGATCAAATAATAGGAAGGCATCATATACTAAGATTACAAATTCACAATTGTGGATTTATTTGAATATGATGTGTCTTATGATCTGTCTGAGTTGGACTTACATTTTGCTTGATTGTGTTAGCTTATTAATTTTTTTGTTGATGCAAAAGATGTCTTTTGTGTTTTAGATAATTGTGGTATACATTTTGGATGTCAAGGTGATTGTGTGTTGAAATGGAACGGTGTGAGAGCCGTTCGTTCTTTCCATTTCAATATTGTGTAGAATTTTTGTGGATTTTGGACATTGTTATTGTACGGAGTGGTTTGATTTTCTATTGCTTCGATTTGTTTGCTGGACTAGAGTAGCGGCTGCTTTTGTTTTCATCTCTACGAGAGTGTTGCTACTTCTCTCTATCTTATCTCTGCTCTTCTTGTGCACCATACTGTCCATGCTTGTATATTCTTATCTGGGAAGCTTCTGCTATTTTTTGTTAAAGGGATGCGTGATTATGAAACCCCATCCACATGAAAAAAATTATTTTTTTAGTTGCATTTCCTTTAACTTTCACAATATAAAGGATTAAAAAAACCTTTCATGAAAATATTATAAGATTTAAAATGTTGGTTTTGTAAAGAAACTAAAAAAAAATTGAAAAGATAGAAATTTGGTGTGCAAATTTAGCCCTTGATACTGACAAAGGAAATACAAATTAAAAGGATAATAAATTTAGAACCCGCTCATCCACCCATTTAACATCCTTAGGCAGAGCACTTGTTGGTTTTTCCATTTTCAATAATTAATGAATAAAGTTGAATGCCGTAGAGGTGAAATATTGATATGTCATGCCATGCCATCCATTACATTTGATTTGGTCTTTGTTCAAAGGAAACTGCAATTTCAATGGAGTTTCCCAGGGGCCCCTTTTAACTTGAGTGCAAAAAGGGGGAAGCTGACCACAACGGGATTTAATGGATTGGCTATATATAGCAAAATCAAAGGACTTGGTCAAGGGATTAATTGTGGCAAAATCAAAGGGATCGGTTTTGCAGTCAAAAGAGATTTTGTCACATGGAATTTAGTCGAATATCTCTGGTTTTCAGTTGTAAGTTTGTTGTCTCAATTGTCTATACCAAGATCATTCTACTGGAGAAAAAGCAACTATGCGCTTTAACACCCCTGTTGGCCATTACAGGAACTTTACTATGAATTAAGGCTTAATGGAAATAGGTTTTTCAGTTTCTATTGGGACAATGCAGGAACTTTACTATGAATTGCCATTTCCTCATCAGCAAACAATGCACAAACACATGAAAATGTTTTTCAAAAAAAGAAAAAGGAGATCAAGTGCAATCCTTTGGAGAAAATTTTAAGAAAATGCTATATCTAACTAAAAACAAATTTCATAATTTTTTTTTCTCGGTCAAAGAAAATATTTAATAATTCATTAATGAAATAAGGATACACAGAGAAAATTCAACCAAAAGCTTCAAACACCATAACAAGTAATTACACAACACAATCAAAATTTCAAAATAGGAAAAATACCATGATGTTATATTTAAAGCTAAACAGCAAGAAAGGATATGCAGGACTTCCGAATTTTTGCTTCTTCCTAGCTATTGATTTTTTGGGAGCAATTAATGTTGTCCATCACCAAAATCTCTTCTTATGATTCCCTTGACATTGACTTAGTATGACCAAGATTTATTGGATTAATATATCATTCCCTTGGGATTGATTGAGCATGATTTATGATAGGATCCTTTTTACTAGAACCCCCAGGGAAAGGAGTGTACAGTCTGACCAGGGTTACAAAGTTATTCTTCTCATGAATTAAGCACCCCGTTAAATAATTTGCTTGGTTAAGAGTGCAAGGACTCAACCTTAACGAGTGGTTTAATTAAGCTCAATGATGTGAAATGAGACCTCAGGCAGGATCATCTCGATGGTACTAAATATGCTGGTCCTATCACTCGATAGCTTTATCAACCTTACTCATTAGCAATGTATGACCAACACACCTGACCTCCTAAAGGACCAGAGACTTTGGCCACCGAGATAGTAAAGTAGTGATTGGAAGCTGTTTTCTTCTTCTTTTTTTTTTTCAATTCTTTAATTGAGAATCTAAATACAGTTTAAGTTAATGTGAACATGGAGCACATGATTTGCTGAGTAAGGCTGTTTGTCAATGTTTTCTAGTTTACGTGAAAAAAACTAGTTTCTTATACGTTTACTTATCCTAAACCTCAAGATCACCACCTTCTTATATATATATATATATGAAATCCCATCCACTCTAGCCACACAATTTTTCGCTTTTTGTCATATTAATTCTGTGAGAGACAGGAATTACATGTTTCACAATTCTCATGATCACCCCCGTCATCTCCACCCTTTTAAAATCTCTCCACAACCACCTAACTCGAAAAGCAAAGCACCAACTCCCTCCAGGGCCCCCTAAAATTCCATTCATTGGCGACTTTCTATGGCTCCTTACGTCTTTTCCCCAAGTCAGGACCGTTGTTCCAACTCTCCGTGCAAAATATGGTCCCATTTACACCCTGCATATAGGCTCCAAACCATTTATCTTTATTGCAAGTAACTCCCTTGCTCATCAAGCCTTGATTGTTAAGGGTGCCATCTTCGCTGACTATCCTCCAGCAATTCCCACCGACAAATTCCTTACTTCTGATCAACACAACATCAATTGGGCATTTTATGGCTCTTTCTCCGCCGTAATCTCACGTCTAATATCCTCTAGTCTTCTCGGATAAAATCCGATGCATGTGCACGAAAATGGGTCCCGGATATCCTCATCAACCGCCTTAAGTTTAATTCATTTTCTAATGATCACATTGAAGTGATAGAGCGCATCCAACATGCATTTTTTTGTTTGTTAGCTTTCATGTGCTTTGGAGACAAGCTTTAGGAAAAGCAAATCCAAGTCATTAAGGACGTTCAACGTCGCCTGCAATTGAGTTTTGACAATTTTAAAATACTCAATTTGTTTCCAAGTTTAGGGAAAATTTTCTTTTACAAGCGTCGGGAGAAGCTTCGTCAGCTTCGAAGGGACCAAGAAAATGTAATGGTTCCTCTCATAAGAACACGGAAGGCAATCAAAGAAGAGAAATATAAAAAGGATCAAAGTAATTGCAATGAGCCATTCCTTCCCTACGTTGATACATTGTTGGATTTACAACTTCCAGAGAAGAAAAGTAAGCTTGAAGAAACCGAAATCGTAACATTGTGCTCTGAGTTCTTTACTGCAGTCACCGATACTACATCCACGGCTTGGCAATGGATCCTGGGATTTTTGGTGAAGTATCCCCATATTCAAGATAAGTTAATCATGGAGATCAAAGGGGTCGTAGGAGATGGAAAGCTAGAGATAAAAGAAGATGACTTGCAAAACATGCCCTATCTGAAAGCCATGGTTTTGGAAGGCTTAAGGCGACATCCCCCGAGCCATTTTCTAGTCCCACATGCTGTGACGAAGGATGTTGAGTTGGATGGCTTTTTGGTTCCAAATTAAAAATAGCATAGCAAGTTTTATGGTGGCCGAAATAGGAAGAGATCCAAAGGTATGGGAAAATCCAATGGAATTCAAGCTTGAGAGATTCTTAATTAAACGGCCAAAATGGAGAAACTTTTGGTTTTAGTAGAAGTAGAGGGATTAAGATGATGCCATTTGAAGTAGGGAGAAGAATGTGTCCAAGGTATAGTTTGGCATTGCTTCATTTGGAGTACTTCGTGGCAAACATGGTTTGGAAGTTCAAGTGGGCTGCTCGTTCGAAGGAAACTATGTGGACTTGATTGAAAAACATGAATTCACCACTGTGACGGAATCTTCATTGAAGGTCCAAAGAAGAATGTTTTCATAGTGAATCTAGTGTTGTGACAGTCATCATCCATAAACAATTATTTAATCTATTGTAAACTAAATAAGCCATTAGTTATTATATCCAAGGACAGATCAAAAGGGCATGCGTCAGCCCTCGCCCCCTCCCAAAGTTCCCCCGAGGTCTTTTATTAATTTGTTATAACTTGATTTTATGTATGCGTATCAAAGATATATTATAAGCTAGCTCTTGAAGTAAAATCCAAGTTTTTTTTTAAATATTTTAATTTTTTTACTACTTTTTATTAAGTTAAAAAAGTTAAAATCACGTAAGGTTTAATTATTTTATTTGTAAACTATTTTTAACAACTTTCAAACATATTAAATATTGATTGGTTTTATTCAACGGCATGTAGAATTAATTTATTCTCTTTAAGTAATTTTATAATGAGTTTGAACAGTTAATCTTATTCACCTAAGTACCAATAATTAACACATTAAATTTACAAATACAAAAAAAAAATGATAGAATTTATGGATACACAATTCTCTTATAAGCCTGATTGGAAAACATTTTTTTTCTAAGCTAGTTACTAAAATGATAGAATTTTCAAAATTAAGAGTAAATTTCACAATTTTTTTTGCTTGAAATTTCACTAATTATGATCGATAAAACTTACACGTCTCAATATTCATATAATGTTACTGAACTATAACTTTGCACCAATTATCATATTTATATGTAATGTAAATTAACCATAAAAACATTTATCAACACATTATTTATGAAAATGCTTTTATATTAAATGTAGTGATTCCATTATAAAAATGTATTTAAATATTCTTTTGGCCAAAAAAGAAGAAATACGTTATTTTTAATAATAATCTTTACAATTATCTAGGGACACTTTTAAAAAATTCAA